TTTTTTACATCTATTTCATGTTCGCGTGACTCGACCTTTCTAGTGAGTGTGTGAGTCGAAATTTAATTATCATAAAACAATTATTTTCTAAAGATAGAAAAATAGGTCCTTCTGCTCGACAAACAATAACTGAATATAATTAATAAGAAGAAATAATAAGAACTTAAATATTTATTTTAACGTTGCTTAAAATAGACCGGCCAACTGGTTGGAATTCTAAAAATTAGGGCATATTTGTTTTATCGTCTATTTTATTTGTTCTTTGAGATTTTTAAAGTGATCTTCACACGTCAGATCTTCACACGTAAGATAGGCCGTGTCATGTGTCATCTCGTTATCTCCAACACTATATGATACTTGTAATTGTGATGAATAGTTTAATGAATAGTGGAATTGACAATCTGAAATATAATACATGGAAGATCGACCACCGTTTTCAATGCTCCTTGTACTTTTAACATTAACACCGAATCATCTTCTTACTCTAGCCATGGGTCCTGATTCCAGAGTTTACTTATACCCTATTCAGATAGAAAATTATAAAGATAGTGTCTAGACAGAGAAGAATGTTAGGGCACCCTAGGAAAATACCATGGAAGAGAGGGGGGGGGACACAAAAAGACAATTTGAAGTTCTACTACTACTATTGCTAAATTATATATGTTATGATTAATAAAATAAATACCTACAAGGTACATAGCTATGCGAATAGTGCGCTAAACATTCTCCACACCTTTTGTGATAGTTTATTGCCTTTTACTTAATTAATTCCTATAACTACATTTAAAAACATTGTTTGTATCTCATGAATGCACGTGAAATGGGATAAAACAAGCAACTGACAACTACAACGTTTAAGACGTTGACGTAAGGCAAATTTATACACGCGAGAACTATTTTTCACTATATCTAGTCATTGTGATTTCCTTGGTGAAATTAAGACAAATGTGATACGCAACCGAACGTTCTTAGCTATAGAGTCCTTGCAAACACGTGACCTAAATCACGTGATACCTACGCCCGCCGCCACAGTGGTGTACATCAGACGTAAACACAGTCAGCTGTTCGCCAGCGCTGGACGTGTTCACCAGCGCTGGACGCGTTCACTGTATGTAAAGAACCGCACCCGCGGAAAAGGAAAAATATGTTAAAAAACTTGAACTCTTAGGAATTGAAGATCCTTATACAGTTATTGACAGTTTCGTGGATAATATAAATATGTGGCCGAAATTTCTAAATAAAAATACTGTTAGTAATACCGTTTGCGTTTAGAGTTTAAGTAGACGAAGCTGATCAAATGCAGTAATATATTAGAGGTTATCTACTGTAGCAAACGTGAGACCACTTAACTCCTACAAAACCCACACTACAACGGCTAATATAATCCATGGGTAATAACCAATCTGGGTAGCATGTTATAAAATTTAAGACCTTTATAATCCAGCAGGGAAGTAATCAGACACATTAATACTGACGTTCAACTCTCATGATGGCTGCCCCCACCTGTATCTAGCCCACAATAAAACCAAAGAGGAGTCTGCCCTGCCCTCCCCTGAAAATGTCTCACCTCCGTGATACCCAGCCCCACAGAGATAGTATTTCTTATATAATTTTGACCCTCAGGGCCCAGCAGGGAGAACAAAGGGGAAAGTCCCACTGCTCTCCCCTCAACATTTCTCACCTCGGTGTCATGTTATGTCATTTATAGCACACATGGCTTATCAGGGGAAAGCATTAAGGCATTAAGAATCTTAACTCTGGACAGCTACACACTAGTATACTAGCTACACACTAGGTGCCTACTGTAAACTACTAGACTGTAGGCCCTATGTAGACCTGCAATTGTATCAATTGTAGACTGGGTCCATTGTTATTATTCTAAACCATCTCACTTATAATGTTTCTAGCTTGATTTGTTTCTTTTATAAACAGTGGATTAAAAAAAAAAATTAGCCTAATCATTAACCAAATAATAATAATGTGGTTATTTGTTGTTGGCTGGTATGATCTAGATTGTACTACTAGGCTACAAAAACTTAGTAGACCAATTACTAGATATGAATTTGAATTTAATTAAACTCAGTCCAGTATCAGATACATATTGCTGTAAAAAGACAACAAAGTAGGTAGGCCTTAGTAATTTATTAAAGCCTTCTACTACAATAATATCAACTACATGCTTGTATAAAGTTTTTACAATTTAATTTAAGTAGCAGATTCTAGATCTAAGTCTAGTCATATAATCTATTTCAATTTCAGAAAATTTCGTTTGCTAAAAAAATGATTAGATAATAGGGCGAGATTTTAGATCTTAGAGACAATTAAATGCTTTATTAGGCCTATTATGACTACTTTTGATTTATTATGGGTGTATTTTGAATCGAATGTAGATCTAAAGTAATTAAATTTAAGTAAAGAAGTAGATTCTAGATTCTATGTCTACCCAGCGGAGCCAGGTATTAGGCTTACTATTAGATCTTATTATTCTTATTAGCCTATTACTTTTGACTTTGTCTTTTACTATTAGTATTTGTGAAGGTCGAGCATATTTGTTTTATTAATAGTTATCTTTTATAATTAAAATGAAGTTTATTATTTTACTGTCCTTACCTGAAACAAAGTATCGAGAACTGCATTTGATCAGATTCGGCTACTTTAACTCTAAACGCAAACAGTATTACTAACAGTATTTTTATTTAGAAATTTTGTCCACATATTTATTTATACGAAACTGTCAATAACAGTATAAGGATCTTCAATTTCTTAGAGTTCAAGTTTTTTAACGTATTTTTCCTTTTCCGCGGGTGCGGTTCTTTACATACAGTGAACGCGTCCAGCGCCGGTGAACACGTCCAGCGCTGGCGAACAGCTGATTGTGTTTACGTCTGATGTACACCACTGTGGCGGCGGGCGTAGGTATCACGAACGGACGTGACGTCATATGAAAGGACTCTATAGGTCAGCTGTTCCTGAACTGGGAGGGGGGGGGTTGGTGGCAGGGGAGGTGTGGGTTGGTGGCAGGGGAGGTGTGGGTTGGTGGCAGGGGAGGTGTGGGTTGGTGGCAGGGGAGGTGTGGGTTGGTGGCAGGGGAGGTGTGGGTTGGTGGCAGGGGAGGTGTGGGCTGGTGGCAGGGGAGGTGTGGGCTGGTGGCAGGGGAGGTGTGGATTGGTGGCAGGGGAGGTGTGGGCTGGTGGCAGGGGAGGTGTGGGTTGGTGGCAGGGGAGGTGGCAGGGGAGGTGTGGGCTGGTGGCAGGGGAGGTGTGGGTTGGTGGCAGGGGAGGTGTGGGCTGGTGGCAGGGGAGGTGTGGGCTGGTGGCAGGGGAGGTGTGGGCTGGTGGCAGGGGAGGTGTGCACTGGTGGGAAGTGTGACTGGTGGTGAGGGAGGAGAGTGGTGGCAGGGGAGGTGTGGGTTGTTGGCAGGGGTGGTGTGGGTTGGTGGCAGGGGAGGTGTGCACTGGTGGGAAGTGTGACTGGTGGCGAGGGCGGAGAGTGGTGGCAGGGGAGGTGTGGATTGGTGGCAGGGGAGGTGTGGGCTTGTGGCAGGGGAGGTGTGGGTTGGTGGCAGGGGAGGTGTGAGCTGTCGGAAGGGGTGGTGTGGAATTATAGAAGAGGAGGTGTGCTCTCAGTGCCGGCGCGAGGCTATTTAGCGCCCTTGGCAAAACTTATTAAAACGCCCCCTTTCACACAAATTAATTACTAAAACATATGTATAAGAAAACAATTAAATTTGACATTAATTTATTATCAATTGCATACACGTTATAATTAGACTGGGTAGACTTGCCTGGAAGAGATGCCTAGAAAAAACTCTGATTCCACTAGACATTCAACTACAAAACAGCCGAATAAAAATTGATACTTTAACACTTCGATACTTTATACCTACGAAACCATATCAGCAACAGCCTTCCGCCGTTACTCTCAAATCTAAACGATTAATCAAAACTTACCAAACAAATATAATACTTAGAATACCCCGTCATTACAAACTCTATTATGTGACACCAAAATAAAAAGGCTGTTAAAAAGCGCCCCGACCTTTCCAAATTAGGGAGGTGAGGTTTCATTTTCACCATCGCGAATAAATATAGGCCTATATAGACCTAATTTTGGGGTGGTGGTGCAAAATTGATAGTTCGTCCTGGGCGCCGATACCGCTACTCCATTATAAAAGTCATTAATTATTAGGTACTTTTGATAATAGCGATTAAACCTTTTACCCCCCCCCCCCCCTAGGGATGGCGCCCTAGGCGACCGCCTAGTTCGCATTATAAGTAGCACCGGCTCTGTGTGCCCTAGTACCATTGGAGGTGTGGGCTGGTGGGAACTGTCGACTGTTGTGGAGGGCTGCAAGAAATTGAAGCATCGCCCTCCCTCTGGGATAAAAAGAAAATATATACTTTGACCATTGTTTACCCATCCACGAACCCCTACAGTTTTATTCCCCCCCCCTCACCCCAGCAAAATGTCTATTAAAAAAACAACCTATGAGTAGTTTATTGACCTCGACACCAAAGGCATGAACGTAGATAATGTGAAGATCTAAATGTTTTGCTACCATTGAAGAAATATATTCTTAACGTAAGGGTAACTTAATGATATGTTATATTACCTAAACTACTATACAGGCCTTCATGATATATAGATCTAGATCTACAGGCGATTGTAAAGAGTTAACAACAAAACGTAAACAAAATAAAACATTGTTTTTGTGAGGTACCCCGTTTTTTTTTTCTTTTAATAAATGCGTAGTAAGTTGAACTTTAAACTTTGTATGAATGACATTTAAGCCTAAATGTTAAATGTAGTGTTTAGTATTTGTTGTTGGTAATTGAAAGAATAATGACGTTCATCGTATTAACAGTTTTAAATTTAGACCTATAGTTTAAAAGATCAATGATAAATACATGTCTGTAAACCACACTACGATTGGAACAGACTATCGGTGTCAAATAATACACTATGAAAAGAGCTATAAATAGGACTAGTCTAATTACCACCAATGCACTGTTCAACATCAAAGTACGCATGCGCGTTAGGTTAGGTAATGATAACTTGGGATAGATCACCCAATTTCTTTCCATATTGACACTCCGAATATGGCGAACGTTTTGGAGTTATTAGCAACTGTGATACTTTTATTTGCGTTACCAACACAGTCTGAAGGTATATGTTCATTTTTATTTTTGTAATGTCAACGATGTTACTTTGATTTTTCACAATTTCAAAGTTAAAGATTGTACTTTAATGTAACAAATCCAGTGCAGTCTCACAAAGATGGCGGACAAGACGATCAGCTGATTTAGATTTTAGAATCACTAGTTCTAGATTCTAGATATAAATCTAGATCTAGATCTAGTCTAGATTTCTCAATCTAAATCTAGAATCTAAACTAGTCTAGATATCTAGTTATTTACTATAGGCCTTCTAACCAATTGAAAGATGTAGGCCTACAGTAACTGTAACAGGCAAAAGCACAGGACAAGGCCCAAGTGTCACAAAAAGAAATTGGCAGTGCCAGTTGAGTAGCCTGTCTGTAGATCTAGATCTAGATTTCTAGATCTAGAATCTAGAGATCTAGATCTAGCTCAAGTAAACTAAGTTGAAGTTCAGGACAGTTTGAGTTAGCTGTTAGAGATCTAGGCCTAAATAATGTCAAATAATGTGTATTATTTGTGTAGCAGTAAAATAATGAATTAGAATAGTAGATCAATCTAGAATAATCAAGTTGCTATATACTTGAAGGCTGCGGCTATTCGTACTTCACTACAAATAGCCCTACTAAGGCTATTCGTAGAACTAATTTTTTTTTTAGATCTAACCTTATCCCTAACTCTAACCCTACCCTAATGCCTAACCATAAACTGCCTATACCCTAATCCCTAAACCTGAAGTAAAAGAAAAAGCAAAAAAAAAAACAAAAAAACAACTCAGAACCAAAAGGAATGGAACCTATGCTACAAAAACTAACCAGCTTTGACCACCTTAACAGTTCCAATAATGTACAAAAGTCGAGTGTCATACGCAAGATAATATACAAATAATTATGCATGCATGCGCAGGACAATAAATTTTAAAATAAATGTAATTGGTCTGCTATAAAAGCTAAAAAAAAAAACATCCCTTATTTTCAATAGTAAAAAGATCTATATTTAATTTCTTCAACAGAGCATAAAAACCAAAAAAAACTGATGTTCGTCATTCAATACCCTTTCAAAAATTACTGGCAAATGTACAACAAAATACCAAAAAGAAGTATAATCCAAAATGAACATGCACGAATCAACAAAAAATTAAATAAAGCAGGAGATATTCTTATATAGCACTTTTGGGGATGGCAACTGGGGAAACAGACATCATTTTTAATTACTTAAACTTACTTAAAAATAGAATAGAATCTAGTAGAAAATTGAAGAGCTGCAACGGCACTTAGTATGTTTACAGACATACACACATCCACCATAGATACACTGACAGAATTGCAAAGCCCAGTTTTTCCACCTCTATAATGTGTAAAATGCCTAAATTTTTATAAAACTGGATTTAGAATTTTCTCCTGGATAAAATAAGTCCCCTGATGAAGTACAGAGATGAAAACTGTTAAAACCTTCATGTGTTTTTTTTGTGCATGCTTAAAACACTTCCTTTATACTCTGTATATGAGAAAGAAAAAAAAATTAATTATCTATATATATAATTCTCTTCTGGGAGCCGTTAGAAAACAAGCTGCAAGCGTCTCCTTGCAGTCCCCTCTCTTTCTCTCTAACACTAACACTATCACTACCACCCCCACCCCACCCCCACATTGTCTGGTGAGCGGTGTTCACTCTAAATGTTTACAAATCGTAGAGCCGGGTTTCTATTAGGGTCAGATAATTTAGTTCGATTTTAAACTTACAGGAGGTAACTAAGAAATAACTTAACTAAGAGGAGGCTGGTTTCATGGGGGGGGGTGTAGGGTCGGGGAAAGGGGGTGGGGGGGGGTTAGTGTTTTAAAGCAAATATTTTCAGTGGCAGCATTGGTACTGTCGAATTCACAAATTATGAATTACTGAAAAGTAGAAAATAAAACAACTACGCTGCGGGTCGGCTGGTAAGAATTATCTTTCATGTGTACTTAATCATATTAAAAGCTATGCTGCCCGTAAAATAAAATCTGCAAACAAGAAAAATAATTTCACATACATCTCTCGTATTGATAATTCAATTTTTTACCTTATAATATTTATCTTAAATAAAAAGTTGAGATTTTTTTCTGTTTAGAAATCTGTCTAAATATGTGCTTAATCTGAGTGCACTTTCAATTAACTTTTCTATTTTTGTTTTTTTCCAATGTTTAGATGTGTTAAAGATTAAACCTGACCTTGGGGAGCTATTGGTAAAGCCCCTGACACAGCAAGTTTTGCAATGTGAAGTAACTACATCTAGGCTGGATGCTAAGTTATCTTGGGAAGCACCATCATCGACCTTGTTCTCACAAGAGTCAAAAAATGTTGTAAATGGTGCATCACATTTGATGTCAACAACCATTACCATTGATAAATTTGAACCAAAATACAATGGAAATTACAGCTGTGTTTTAAAAGATGGAGCATATGAGAAACGTGCCTATATCAATCTAAGAGCTGTGACAGGTACTTGAATTCTTTTTTACTGGGCAAATACAGTTCTCAAATAATTCATCTAAATATACTGCTGGTTTTATTTTCAGGGTAAATGGCTGGTGGGAAGTTTTCATTCCATTTACCTAATTTACCCGGCTCTAATTTTTTTTAACATGTTGTTTTAATACATTTAATTTGAATAATGTTCATTCATCTAAAGCATTTTTTGAAAGACTCTTAAGTTTTTATAATTTTATTTTTGCCACTTCTGAAAGTAGTTACAAGCTGATCAATACTTTATTTATATTTTATGTACATTAAATTGAACTGCACTTTTTTTTTTTAAATAGAGAAAAAGGAAGAACCCATTTTCAATGCTAGCAGTACAACAGCAGCTCTTTCATGCTCGATTGACTTGACAGGAATTGAGGATGTTGTGTGGCTTCAAAATTACACTTTGGTTTCTGAGCTTAAGGATAAGGATCGTTTTGTTTCCACTAAAGAAAACTTTACTCTCACAATAAATAACCCAAGTATGTTTGTTATTATGTCAGTCAGTTGTTTAGCTATAACAGTATGACTTTTGAAAAAAAAATGTATTGTTTCTTAATAACAGTTGAATCAAATTTATTTTTCAGCCATTGATGACGCAAATCTGTACATTGCAAGATTTACCATCAATAACAAAAACTATGATTGTGAGGTTGAATTTAGAGGTAATTTTTGACTGTATTAATTCTCAATAAAGCTTCATGAGTGTCTCTCTTTGAATTCTTTTTTTTTATCATACTTTATTTCTTCACACGAAGGAAAATGTTCAGATGTTTTGTTTTCCTCTTTCATCCAGCTAGTCCTCAAGTTATGGCTTTTGAAAAGTCAAAGAATTTGATTCAAGATGATACACTAGAGCTACAGTGTAAGGTTAAAGGGTACCCTCGTACTGTTGTCACTTGGTATAAAGATGATGAACCCCTGAATGTCACTCTTGATAGCCAGATGGAGCTGACCGGACTGAATGGTCACAAAAATGCTCGTCTTAGAATAACGAAGGTTGACTTTGCCCATGGTGGTGATTACAAATGTGAAGCTTATTCCAAGTACTTCAATGAAACATCTTCTAAAACAATTACTGTTAGAGTCAAAGGTAATCTATAAACTAGTCATTTAAAGTGTGTTATAGTCAAACGTAATTGATTAGCTAAACCAGTAACTATTCCTTGTGGTTTATCATATCTCCACACCAATTATGCTTTCATATTAACACTGATCTATTGAGTCAAGGGTTTATTGTTTTGATCCAGTAATTCATTGGTTTTCATTTGACAGATAAACTAGCTGCACTCTGGCCGTTCTTGGGGATTGTTGGTGAAGTTGTAGTACTGTGTACAATCATATTCATTTATGAGAAGAGACGCAACAAGCAAGCAGAGCAGGAGGAAAACAATGCACAAGAATCGTAGGTTTTGAGTCCCATTTGTGATGGTTCATGTATTGAGATATAACCCTGGTGTGATTCTACTTTTTTGTTATGTTAAAATGCAACTTTCTGTGTTGTTAACATATCAAAATCCAATGTTCAATACTATTTCAGAGATGAAAATGCATCTGAGAAAAAGGATGGACTGAGACATCGCAACACCACATCTAACAATCCTTCAGCTTAGAGCAGGAGACATTCTGCTGTTTTGACTGGAAAAAAGTGGCGTATCTAATTTTTCAATCTGTGGTGTAAGAATTTGAATAGATGAGTAACAATTGTTAAATCTTGCCTTCAAGTTTTGTGTATTATTGCAGGTGTAAAATATTTTTCATAATAGATTTCATTAAGTTATACCTGAATAATGTCTTTAGTGAAAGGCACCCATTGGCTTTCAATAGTGTTTTGACAAGTATTTTTTTTAAAAATTTAATACAATTTATTTTTAACCAAAAAAAAAACACCCCCTTGTGTAAAAAATAAAGTGTATTACATTCCTTTATTACTTAAATAGCTGTCAGTGCTTGTCAAATCTTTACTTTCAATACTGCACTATAGTTTAGTCTTTTCCTAGCATTTTTTGTTCGTATTGTCATATTTGACAACAGTATTCGGTATAAATCCTGTGTTTCAACATTTCTGTACATATCTATACATATATTTTTATCAGATATTGAGCTCTGACTGCCTGAAACTAGGATGAATGTATGTTTAGATGTTGGTATGGAGATCTTGTAAATAGGATTTTCTTTTATTGCTTCAGGGATACAGGAGATTAGTTAACTGCCTTTCTGGCATGGGGGGGAGGGGTGATTCATTAGTCATAATTGTGATGTTAATTAGAAATGTTTCACTTTTCTTAAACTGCAACAGATTTATGTGGCTGACCTACAATATAACTCAAAGGTCCCAGCCTGAGATTTTGCTACAAATGCTTTGAAAATATTTTTACCATGTGGTTTACATTAAACAAAGTATACAAGTTGATTCTCTAGTGAAATATTTGATACACCAGATTTTACTTGTTCTCCTTGTCTGTCTACTCAGATTTTGTACATTTTTTTTTATACTGTCAATGAGTATGATTGTTTTGAAAATAAAGATATAATTATTTCTTCTTACAGCTTGTTTTGAGAATGATTGTTGAGGTGAATGTATATAGGGATCATTTAATCTTGGTAATTAGTCATAACCTTCACAGTGGACAGTAGTAATCAAATTAGTGTCATGGTTCTTTTGGATTTGAGATTAATTTAATAAAGCCAACACAGACGCAATAATTTAGAAGTCATTTATTTTTATTTACAGTTAAAAATTGAATAAATTTTCATTACAATATAAGTTATAACTAGAGTGATAGTGTGACATATAGTCTTTTCCCAGTATTCACACAACAAGCAATTGATGATTATTTACTTCAAACATTTGCAGAGTAATTTATCTAGCAATTAATTGTGGTGGTACAATGTAATGCAAAGTTCTTCCACCACTTTAAAACTTGTGAACTTCTACTCACAAGGATCGCTATAACTGATATTTCTAATGTTTTAATCAGTGACACTGTAGCATTGACGTCGAGTATAGTCCCATTGAGACACCAACACTTACAATATCAGGTAACGAATCTGGAACAAAATGAGAAATATGACATCAGATGTTCAATAATATTCTGTTGATGGTATCTAACATTTCTCAAAATTGAGTAGTGTGTATTTTAAACAGGTCAATTTAAGTTCGTGATCATCATTTTTACATTCCCCCCCCCCCCCCCTCTACAAAATTCAGGTTTTTGTACTTCATTACTATCATAATGCTTGAACTTTTTTTAAACTATGCTCTTACCAAGTTTAGATTCTTGTAAATAGGCACAAGCATCTAATGATATAACAGCTTGATGGCAAGTTTTTTGTTCCTCTTCTACCTTCATCAAACTTTAAGATTTTTGGGGGAAACAGTTTAGTTACATTAATAACATGATTTATTAGTATTTGCAACATATTCAGGTTAATAACATGCAATTATGAATCTGTATTGTTTTATCTAACATAAAACTCACTCCATAGAATGATCCAGCATATCTGTTTCTAAAAATAGAAGTAAGACGTTAGGCATGGGATCTTGTTCTACAACACCCTGCAATAAAAACAGAAGTACATTAGGCACAGGGTCCTGCTCGAATAAGCTACAAAAAAATAAACTGATTCTTACCAACATTGTAAGAGGGTTGAAAATGGCAAAACCATTTTATTTTTAGCCTGTCACACAGCTCTGGCTGCTCAGTAAACTAAAACTTTTAACTAGTTTGTGATGGTTAAGTTTAGCTGTTCACTCACATGTCTAACTAGTTTGTGATGGTTAAGTTTAGCTGTTCACTAACTAAAACATCTATCTTGTGTGTGCTTACACCAATATACAAAACTTCAGTTTATCACCACACTAATACAGCTAAATTGAGGCAAATACAATTTTAGTCAAGCAAAACTATCTAGTCACTGTACCATTACAGGTGACCATAGTTTGCTATTGAATTTGACACTGGCAAAAACCTAGAAGTTTTGCAGTATTTTACTAAACATGAATACCACAGTAAAAGGCTAAGATGTTTGATCCATACAATCTGAATGCTTGGCTTATAATGCTGAGATCTAGTCTTTAAAACCTAGTTTGTTGGAGTTCTTGGTTTTAGCATTATTTTTAAAAAGTGACGTTGCCTAGGTTTGTAAGAGTTACTCTAAATGTAAACACATGAATGAAACAAAAAGTTGTAGTTCAAACGGCAACTAAAAAAAATTGTTTATTCTACCTGAAAGTAAGAATCTAGCGCCAATCTCCGCTGTTCCAAGACCTTTGTGTTCCACTTTAAAACTTTTTTTGGGGGAAATTCTGGTGTTTTTATTATCTTTTTAAGCTGTTGAAAGATGCCAAGAAAATGACATGTAAGTATAAAGAATTTGGTTATCAAAGTCTATACTATACCCTAAACTCCAAGACTAATATTCACTGGGTCAACACACATTTAAACATAATCCTGATATGTGCATCAATGTGCATTCTATGAACTGTATAACATATGGTTTTGGACAAGGCAAAGCAGGCACACTTGTAATTGCTTGTTTTGATATCAATTACTAAGTTTGAGAGAAGTCTGCTATTTACTAAGATATAATACCAGTGTGTGTTCTGATGTTTATTAAAATATAATACCAGTGCATCAAGTATAAAACTTTTAGAGTATTGTTTTAACAAATTTCACCTGCTTATGCAGCTCTTCAAATTCAGAGTATCTTTTCTCTATAACATGATGCCTGCCAGAAACCCAGACATCTACAGAAAAAACCTGAAAGTACAAAATAGAAGGAGCAAATTTCCACAAATTTGTTTCTCATGTCAATATGTAGTAGGAAAAACAAAGAATTTATATGAATTACCCATTAATTGCATTAAAATATTAATATGTAGCTTAACAAATGTAATACAATACTGAAAAGTGCAATGAATTAAACCATAGTCATAAAAATGTCAAATGTCACAAATCAAAATATTTATTTAACCCTTTTGCTGCAGTATTTATGATGCTGTTACTGAGTTGGTCATGACATTTTTTTTAATGTTTCAAAACAACAACAAAATTACAATATAAACACACACAATTGAAAAATAAAATTAAATAAAATCATGGTTGTTCATTGTTTACTTCCATGTGTCATGTTCTAAATCAAGTTGTTTCTAACTAAGATTGTCATTGGGGAATCACTGATACACTTAAAATCTTTGTTGCTTTATTTCCAGACATCTCTCCTTCATAACTTCTTCCATACCACATGATCACCACAGTTACTCTCAGCTTTTCTTCCAGACCTATTTCTCCAGGGGGGGGGGGGGCGCACTTGAAATTTTTTTTTTTGGGGGGGGGGGGGGGAGAGACAGGGACACTGGTTAAAGTATCTGTTTTCTATATAAATTCTATTTGCCTGGAAGAAACTCTGATTACTCTGCAGTCATACAGTACATACCCTTGACATCTTTACCAACACCGTCATTGTTAAGTTCATTCACTTTATTAACTTTCCTTATTTATAAAAATATATGTACTGACATTTTAAAAATAATCAATGTTTCCTTCATAAAGTACTGCAACATTAAATGCACATTGTTTGATTTCACTTAGTGCGCAATTAATTAAGTATTATAAAATGAATAAAAAACATTTCTATAGCCCTAATGCACTTGAACTGACACCCCTCTTACTGTTAAATTAGAATATAAGAGTAAGTTTAAGGAAATTACTCCTACTTTACTTTTTTACTTTTTCAAGTTCAACCTTTCATGTTTTATTTTACCTTATTCATTAAGTTATTCACTACTCAGGATTATTCTCATTCTGTACTCACTGCTGTTCATACGTCATTCATAGAGCTAGGTATAAGACTAACCCAAGAGTAAGAGGCTAAGACCTAAGGCTAAGCCTGGTCTTAGAACTATAGTAGGAGATCGAGAATAGATCTCCTCGAAAAATGTATATCTCGTACTACTAGTCTACTTGTAGTTCTTATAGGCATAATTATTTTTTCATAATCATATCCATTATCTATATATATATATAATTTATATAATGCACTTCATGGACGGACCATGTGGGACACCACCATGGCATAAGCTCAACAGACCATATCGCTACCACCCCCACCCTACCAGTCTGGTGAGCTGTTTACAATCGTAGTGCCGGGTCAAATAAGTGACGACTATTAGGGGCAGATAATTTAGTTTTTAAACGATTTGAAACTAAGGGGAGGTAATCACAAGTTCTGCTTGATCTTTTCATTGTCGTCTGTAAACTGTCGTCACAGACTGCTGCTTTCACGGGGGAGGGAGAGAAGTGGAAAGTGAGGGTGAGGATAATCGTCCTTCACTTAGCTACTGATAGTGCTTTAAAGCAAAATATTTTCAGTCGCAGCATTGTCAGTGTCAAATTCACAAACTATAAATTACTGAAAAATAGGAATTGAAACAACTAAACTAAATACTACTAGATCTAAATAGTAAATAGATGCGTATGCTACGTCGCTGGTCAGCTGGTTAATATTACTAATCATAATTTTTAACATTTCTTGATTTTGTTCTACTCACTGTGTACGTCTCGTCGCCTTCTTTAACTTTCCTGAAGCTGGGAATATTTACTCGAATAACCATTTCAGATTTCTTAAAATGACAAATAAATAGTTACAAGTAATAAGGCTACTTTATAATTAGTTGGACTTCTTCGTCTATTAAATATGCCTAAAACCTCCTAGACTCTAAATCGAAATAGAATTACTTGTTAAAGCCAGACTAGACCTAGAATCTAGTAATAATTACTTGGCTTGGTTTAAGTAAGACTGAAAGATAAACGAAACGGAAGATGAGGTCCACAGTTTAGGAGAATAATATTTTTGTTTACATCTAGGCTTCCTAATGTTGGATTAGATTAAAATGTATAAAAATTTAATTAATTTACATATTTTAATATTTTTTTGTACATCTATATGTTTTTTTAATTTCTTAATTTAATTTATGTGTATATTTTGTAATAGAAATTACCATTTATGTTTAAGAAATTATGAACAGTTTTGAATATTGGAAGTTCTCTAATATTCAAAATACATCCTATCCCATCGAAACGTAAATGTTTACAAGATGGCTTCGGAAAATTCTGATTTTGATGGACCAGCCTCGGCATCATATATATTTGTGAGAGTTCTCGGAAGTGGAGCCTTTGGAGAAGCTGTGCTTTACCAGAAAACTGAAGTATGATGTGAACTAGATAGATCTAGAAAATGTAGATCAATATGTAATTTAAAAAAACTCACACGAAATGCTTTTAACATTTATCCTTTTCTTTTAGAAATGTGGGTAGCCTTAGAATTTAGATTATTAGATAGGTTTAATTATGGATTTTTAAAAATAAAATATTCTGTTATTTCAAATACACTATTAAGTTCCTTACCCCTTAAGAGAACATTTGACACCACATTTAAATATCTAGCTTGCTCAGTGGCCGAGAAAAGAGAGAATTTTAAAATAAACCTAGAATGGAAAATGAATGACAAAATGACATCTTTGCCCCCCTGCCCGCATGACATGACGTCGTGGACTTGTGTGCACAAATTTTTTTAAGGGGTGTGTCAACTCAGGTTATTTACTCACCGGAAAATAACAAAAAGCAACTGGTTGATAATTAAACTAGATCTAGTTGTTTTATTATTTATTAAGTTCTACTCTACATGTTATTCATACCATTTTATGAAGCAATGAACACCTGCATAAATCAAATGACCATAATAAATATTTTTATTTCAAATTCTAATTTTAAATAATAAATATGCTTAAAATAATATGATAGTAATAGTATGATAGTTTATAAATACAAATACATTTTACACTCAATTCACATTATATTGAGTCAACAGTGTGGCAGCTGAGGTTCATACATGGTATTAGTGTCTTTTTTTTTTACATTACATTTTTTTTTCATCTTGAAAACATGACGTATGTGATTTTTTTAAAAAAATAAAATCTCCAAACATCGTCACTCGCGTGATTGCTTGCTTACGTTTACTATCCTGTGGATGAAAAATCCCACCACGGTCGCAGGATCACCGTGAGCTCGGCAGGCCTACAGTACACGTCATAGAATGAACACGCGTACGCAAAATGGTCGGTGTCTTCACTTCTCTCTCTCTCTCTTCCCCCCCCCCTTCTTCTAGCCAATTGAAAAACAGACCTACTTCCCTACTTCTGGTCTTTTTTTTTTATAGTTCGGTCATTTTTTTTAAAGTTCACATATCAGGCATACAAGACAGCCAGCTGTATAAAAAAAAAATTAACTAGATCTAGATCTACGTCTAGCTTAAAAAAATAAAATAAATAAAAGCTTAAAATGCCCGTAAACAGATTATTTAGCGCCAAAAAAAGGACGCTGAACCGGCATTTTTTAAAATACGCAGCAATGAAAAAGGCTAACGGCCGATCAAATAAGTCTAAAAATCGCCCGTAATTAGGCCTAGCTCCGAAAAAGGCCACTGAACGAGCATCACTAATTATATAAACGAATAGGCCACGCAGCGTTGACGAGGTTAACCACCGGTCATGAATTAAATTCAATGCAGCTACTGTCGGCCCACAGTGAAGAAAAAAAATCAATATACTAATATTTTAATAAAATTACTAATACAATAATAATTTCCACAATTTTACTTTTTCTGCACACGCTACAGTTGAATTATAATTAAAATACTAGACTCAAAGGTTCATTTCGCAAAAAACAAAAACTAGTTGTTTCTGTGAGGTAACTAGCGTAACAATGACGTCACGATAGTAAACAAAGCGGACAGAAATGTCTGCATGGGTACCTCATCCTCAAATTCGATTTTAAAAAAATGTATCAACAGATCTGTAACTAATCATTATAAATATCTCAATTAAATATTTCTGCATTTGTACCAGGGGGTTTCGACCATGTACTGGGCCGTTTGAGGCGGCAGTTCAGTTTTTCCCAAGAGTACTCGACAAGAATAGCGTGTATTAATTAAAACCACATATCTCGTGAATATTTCGGCCATTTTAAAGCATGGCGTCCATTTAGTTAGCATCTCACATTAAAATAATGATGAGATTTTGCGATATTAGCAGTTTTTTCATGTGTCGTGTATAGGACCCCTAAAAAAAACGAAAAAACCGCAAAAAACGACGAGTGACGTTTCAGGGTCAGAGGTCATCCCGCCATGTCAGCAATGACCCAGTCTATTATTAGAAAGTTAGACTTAGACAGTTAATTTAGTTAAATTTAGGCATACTATTTATTAGTTTTAATTAGTTAAAGTACTAAAGTAGGTCTATGCCAGTCTATGCTATATATTTTTTTTTTTAAATTTGGGATTGCATATTATAATTATATATTGACATTGTAGCTTTTAGAAATATTTTGAGACTTAGTCAAGGGATACTGATTCAGTGATAATGTAGCATTTTATAATTAATTAAATTATCATCTGACATAATCATATTGTAAAATTAGGCCTAATGCTTCATTTGTAATGTGATACAATGACCAATCAATTAGGATAGCAGTCTTGTGGTTTGGAAGGAAGTTAATCTAGCAAGACTAAATGAAAAGCAACGAAGGGACTCACAAGGAGAAATTGAAATTTTAGCACTGCTTAATCATGCTAATATCATCAGCTACTATAATCATTTTGTTGATGAGGACATGTTATTTATTGAAATGGAATATGCCAATGGTAAGTTTTTAAAACACTGCCATTTGTCTTAAATAGTAAGTCTGCATCATCCATCCACATGAAATATTTTTGTCATACTTAAGTAATTTGATATAAAAATACATTTTAATTGCATTTCATATCAAATCTGTGGGCATGAAAAGCAATCATTTTATGTCTTAGGTGGCACTTTGTATGATAAAATTGTGCGGAGTAGCAAGTTATGGCTGGAAAAGGTATGTGGTTTTTCACATTCTTTTTACTTTTCATCACAGTTGAACCAGTAACTTATGTAACATAATTTTTTTCACATTTGTTTTCAGGATGTTTTGTGGTATTTATATCAAATGACATCAGCATTATCTTATATTCATCAGTATGGAATAATTCATAGGTAAAGGGTTTGTTAATCGAAACATTTATTTATTTTTTATTTTTTTATTTTTTATTCCATAAATATTATAATTTTTCTATTAAATTTTTTTCAGAGATATTAAATCCTTAAACATTTTCCTCACAAAAGTTGGTCTTGTAAAATTAGGAGACTTTGGTATATCAAGGTTTTTAGAATCAACCAGTGAAATGGCAGAAACTGTAAGTTCTAAGTTTTCATATCATGCAGCTTTGGGGATTTTGTGTTTTCAGCACAATTAAAAAAATAAACACTTGGGTTACTTATTGTTTAGTACTTATATATTTAGATGTCAGTTAACAGTTAAGATTTTAACTTTTTACTTTAATCTTATCTCTGCTTTTTAAAAAATTCTTGATATAAATAGTAATTTTTATTTCAGCTTGTCGGAACACCCTATTACATGTCGCCAGAAATTATGATGGGTGAAAAGTAAAGCTCTATTTAATGAAATTTTAGTTTATTTTAACTCTTATTCCACTACATGACATGGAGAACTCTGAAATAAAAATGTTGTAGAGATTATATAAACAGTTATAAAAGAAAATTTAAAAACTACATTGAATTGTTGCATAGGTTACATATTTTTACTTTCATTCTCAATAATCACTCAACTTAAAATAATAATAATAAAAAAAAACAGCTGGTAATAAGAGAAACATTGCATGTAAAGTGAATTTAACCAAATCATTTTGTTATTTTAGATATAATTACAAGAGTGATATCTGGGCCCTGGGCTGTGTTCTCTATGAGATGTTGACATTGTCTAGAACCTTTCAAGCCTCAGTAAGTCTAGTTTTAATATTTTTTAGCATGATTTCCTTCTGCTTAACAAAACGCATCAAATGAGTATTTATAAATGGCATCCAATCTTTTAAAAAGTTTGGACTACTATCTTGCTAATGAAAGTCTGATAATGTGTTTGAAAATCATGCTTGAAATAAAAAATTGTGATTTTCATTTAACTTAATTCTCTGAAAAAAAAAACAAAATAGAGATTATTTCTTCAACATGGTAACAACACTTTTCCTGCAGAATCCATTAAAGTTAGCTTTAGAGATAGTCAATGGAGATCATGAGAAAATCAACAAAGCTTTCAGTGAGGAAGTTCATGTTCTTCTAGATTTAATGCTAAAGAAGGTAGGCAAGTTTGAGCTTTATCTGTTCATGTTTTTCTAGTTTTAAAATAAATTTATTGAGTAAAAGTTTTTGGTTTAAAATATAAAAATGAATGTATGTTTCTGGGATAAAAAATTTAATTTTGGAGGGGTGGCGCCACAGCAGTATGTTGCAGTTTGGTTCCCCAGCCACTATCTCGGCACCTGGGATTCATTGATTAAGCCTCCTGCACAGGGTTTAGAGGTAGAACTCCATTCAATGGTCTAACTGCACTAGGTGCATATGCAGTTGGGTGACTTGGAGCACCCTGAGCTTCCCTGTGAGTACGTTGGTGCCTACTTTGTTTTAAAGAGCACCCTACAATAGGGACACAGTGGGGAACAAGATTTGAAGACTAAATCAAACCACAGGCTGTACCCCGCGCCCCTGCAGTGGTGTTGCTGATGGCTCCCTGCAACACTCCTGACACCTGGGCGGTAGTTGAGGGGTGTTTTACCTCACTATTATAGAGGGCAACTAATGTACACTCAAGGCTTTTATATAGCAAACCCTGAGACATCTGCGCAGTAGTGTAAGATGACTAACATGCAATATAGTACTGGCATTGTTTACACTTACATAACTCAGTTTTAGAAAACAAGGTCACACATATAAAAATACATGATTGGTAAAGTGTTGATGAAACCCTTATAAAATGTTTTGTCACTCAAGTATGTTGGACCAGATTGCAGTGGTGTGCGATGGGTTCACTATGATTATAAAACACGCTGCTAATCATAAAAAAAAATAAGTAGTTCCCTTTTGAACCTGATGATATGTGAGGCAAGTGAAGTAGAGTTTATCTGTTTCTAAGACCTTGGCATATGAAGGGATAGTGTGGTCATGATTTTGCCCAGTTGCATTTACTTTCCTTAACAAGGATCAAGTACCCCAAGTGGATTCAGGGATGTTCTAAAGACATGAATCAGGATTCAAACTCGATAAGTTTTGTCAGAAGTGGGATTTGACTGATGCTGATTATTATATATTAGATGTCTTATCAAATATTTCATTTTTTATTTAGTTGTGATTTGAAAAAAATTCTGCCATCTGTTTAGAAACCTGAAGAAAGGCCATCAGCAGAAGATATTTTAGCCATGCCATTGATGGCTTCTTCTTCTGTCAGCATGGAGCAAAAAGTGTATGAACTAAACTCCACAACTAGAAGAGCTAAACTCTCAGCTTCCTCCACATCCCACATTGTCTCTGTTGTCACATCAAAAATGTGTGAGGTTTGTTCATTTTTATTTTGAAACACAGCTAGTTATTATCTGCATTGCTTATTTGATCTTGGAACATGATAACTATTTTCTTGTTCTTTAAGTTTGGCAATTCTTTAGAGGTGTTTAAATTAATTTTTTATAAGACTCTTCATTTTAATTGCTGTTAGCTAATTTTAAACACAAATCTCTGTACAGATGTACCAGTGGGGTGGTGGAAAGATAACTCCACAAAAACTGGAAATATTTACAAGGGAGAAAAGCCCCATGCAGGTGATTTTTAACACAATCATAATTTTTTGTTTTATTACAATCAATATTCAAAGGTTGATGTTTTTAATAACCACACCATGTTTTTATAACAGGTTGCAGCAGGCCACTCCCACTTTGCAGCCATCACTTTTGAAAAAGAGGTTTATACTTGGGCAGTAAGTAAACTGTATTTTTTTGGAGAAGTAGATTTTTGGCAGTAAGCACACTTTTTTAATTGGGAGGAGAAGTGGGTAATAAATTTATGAACATTTGTTTTGTTGATGGGTGGGTAAGGTTTTTATAAACTGATGGGTTTCTCCAAAGTGATATCTTTTTATTTTAAATGTTTTTAGAATCCCCAAGGTGGGATATCAATGGTAGGTCAGCTAGGTCATGGTGACACAGCATCATACAAGGCCCCCAGAAGAGTTGATGCTTTACTGGGGATTCCAATCTTACAAGTAGCCTGTGGGGAGGATTTCACCCTCTGTGTTACAGGCAAGTCTCACACTTCAGCCACACCTATTCACCATTCTCACAACTCCACTTGTCTTATCCAAACACAGATTGTTTTCTTGGCACATAAATCAATATAATGATATAATTAAACTGGTTAGCGCTATCAAGATTCCTAACTAATGGGATATATTGTAGCCAACTGTATTACATTAAAAAATTGAATAACTATTGTTATAGTTATAAATTTAAAAATAATCTTCTTTTAAGATGATGGTGCGCTGTATGCCTTTGGATCAGATTATTACGGATGTTTGGGGTTTGAGGCGGATGAAGAGGAGACCTTATCCCCTGTCCTGGTGGATTACTTTACTGACCATCCGGTGCTGGAGGTGGCGTGTGGGGATGTTCATGTCATAGCACTGACCAGATATGGAGATGTCTACACATGGGGGTCTGGAGAGTTTGGTAGGGAGAGACATTCGCTTTACTTGGATACTTAATTCTTTCTTGCATTTGAAACAATTCCAGCTTTTTATAATTTACAATCAAAACAAATTTGTTATATATCATATGTCTAATTTGTGGAATAACTGGGTGGGACATATGGTCTTGAGTTCAAAATGTCGAGAAAAAAATTGTTTTTGAAAAGATACATTTGTTCAATCTAATTTAAATATGCTAAGTTAAAGAGTTAACATCTTCTTACTATTGCTTTCGTTATTCTTCTTTGTCAAACGTTAGATGATAAATATTTATTGTAGAACAAATAATCAAATAATCTATGTAATTAGCTCAAAACAAATATTATAATCATAAATATTAAGTGATTTGTAATGATTCTGTAATCTTACCACTCTTTCCTTTAGAGAAACTCAAATGTCCATTGATTTTTTAAAAATATTTTTATTACAGGAAAACTGGGCTTAGGCTCTGAAGACGACTTTAATACACCTCAAAAAGTTAGTTTATATGAAGTTACTAGAATAATGTAAATTTTGACAAACTAATGTATACAATAAAAACAATGGAGACAAATTTAACCCAAATAATATTTTAGCCAAATGGTGATTCACTATTAGTTTGAAAATAAACAGATTTTTACCTTGTTTGATTAGATACACAGCAGTTTTTGGGAAGGGGAGACAAATTAGAAATAAAAAAGAAATTTATATTAAAACATTGTGTAAGTTTAATGAAATAATTATTTAATCATTCAGAATATATTTAAAATTTTAAGTTTGAATGAAGTACTTACTCTGGCCACCTCTTTTAGGTTGAGGTTCCTGGGAAACAAGGAATCAAACATGTTTGTGCTGGGGGTGACAGCTCCTTCCTTGTCTGTGCCAGTGGTCGTCTGCTGGCCTGTGGCAGCAACCAGTACAACAAGCTGGGCTTCAATTCTGAGACTTCTGGTCTCAGGAAACGGAAAGCAAAAGTTGGTTCAGTTTTTTTAAGATTGATATGGATCTTAATATTTACATAAATTTATGAACATAAAGCTACACTTGAGTAAAGTTTATTTGTCTTCCCAACTGTGTTTAAAGTTAAAAACATTAACTCTTTATGACTGTAACGATGCTTGCAGCAAAAGAAAATAAAATAAGGAAAACAGACTCTGGTGAAATATGAAAATAAGTCCAGTGTTAAAGAGTCAATATGTACAGAAACATAATAAACATACTTTAAAATATTTTTTTAAATTTATATTTTCTTTTTCCTTTCTATAATTCTAGGGAACGTGAAAATAATTTAAAGAAAAAATATTTCTCTAGAAACATTAAAAATGTACTTTAAATTAATTTATTTTCATATAATCTTTTGCCTTTCTTGCAGACTTTTGACATTCCCTGTCGTAACACATTTAGCACAGTGAAGCCACTCAACCGTTACAGCATAGTTCAAGTAGCAGCTGGCAAAACACACTCAGGGGTCATTGATAGTGAGTAGTGTGTGCTGAACTTTGACCTAGGAAGAGTAATTTAACTGAATTAAAAAATATGAAAATAAATTTTTATTAAACTTTAAAAAACCATTATGTTATTTTGATTTAGTTTTAAAATTTTTGTCTCTGTACTTATAAATATGTTTGATAACTATAAGCCTGTATTTAACCTTTCCAGACTTTGGTCATCTGTTTATGTTTGGCTCTAACAAATATGGCCAGTTGGGCATGGGTGACTTTAAGCCCCGGCCAGGTATTTGTCGAGTTAGTGGAGTCTTAACTGGCCAGCGAGTGGACAAACTGGCATGTGGAGATGGCTTTACTGTTGTGGCTACAAATGGTGAGGTGACCTTTAACCTTTAAGTACCCTAACATGATCATGATCTTTATTCAGCATTCCATCAATTCATTGATTTTATTTCCGTATCAATGTCAGAAAACCAGATTTATTCCTGGGGAAATGGAGAGAGTGGCAGACTAGGTGGAACTTTTACAGACCAGGGCATTGGCCCAAATGGAATGTGCACAGCCTTACCTAGACCCATCTTTGGTTCCTTGCATGTGGTGTCCTGTGTCTCATGCCGGCATTGGAACTCTCTTATCATTGCAGGTAAAAGCAAGTCAATAGTTCTGCATTTGATTATAAAAAATACTTCAATTTAATTCCAGTTAGTCTATAATTATTACATTAAAATATTTCTTGTCAAGTAACTCTAAATGTCTGTATATTTATGTTTCAAAATTTAGAAAAAGTCCTCAACCAAAAAACTCTGAAGTCAAGGCTCTCATCTCCCAAACGTATGTAGATTTAATATTATTACATTTTATTATTACATTTTAAACTGTAAATTTACGACCTGCAGTTTTACATTATACACTGACCATAAATTTCTAGGCTACAATAAAATAATGTTACCTCTTCAAACCTGGCAGTACGCGGGTTAGGTGAAGTAGAGCTCACTAGTATCTTTGACCTCAGCATTTGAAGAGATAATGTGTAATTACCTCTGTATGTAATTCAATATTATTAGATTTAATATAGTCAGCAAACATGATAAACAGATGGAATTATTAATATCGACTTTCCAAAATTTGACCTTCACTAGAAAAACCAAACTCTACTTAAAACACACTTAAAAACATTGATATGGATCCTCATTTCACCTAGAAACTTCATACTAGTCTTTTATGTATTTTAAATTTTACTGTTGGTCAAAATACTTTACTTCCATTAGAATATAACTCTGTGAGGTGTCTGATGGAATGTGTAGAGTTGAGATAGTTGCATTGTGATGTACTTACACATGTAGAAACAATAAGTTCCATATAATTTTAATTCAGTTATTATTTTAATTCAGTTATAATTTTAATTCAGTTATTGTTTTAATTCAGTTATAATTTTAATCCAGTTATAATTTTAATCCAGTTAAAATTTTCATTCAGTTAAAATTTTAATTCCCAGAACTGAGTAAAACAAAGGAGAAAAGAGGCAGGCTTTACATAGATTGTTTTGTAAATATTTCTCATGCTTTGGTGTAAACAAATGATAGTCAAACCTCTAGTAATCACTTGTAAATCTGCTTCTAGTGTTGATTTACAGCATTGGAAATTTTTGCTGTGCAGTTATTCAGGTTTTAATAACAAATCATATTTTGAATAACTCACATAATTTAACTGTACGTAAAATACATGCTATAATATTTCCACATTACTTGATATATTATATATAACACATAGTTTTTCCAAGTGGTTATTCTATAAATATGATAATAATCAATCTAGTTTTAAATGAGCTAAAATTATATTTTTTTGCCGTGTTTGATATAGCTAATTTTTTTTTTGTCAATGACATGTGCATTTGGTCTATTAAAAGAAATTTTTTAAAATGAAGGTGATGAAGAGAAATATCTCCTTAGGTTTATTGTTAAAAGTTTTCTTCTAGAAATAGTTCTTTTGTCAAACAGATTATTAACAATGTACTTATTATAGTATACATTGATTTTAGAAAGTAAATTGAGCTAAATCAAGGGGCAGCATACAAATATGTAATTTGGGAATCACTAAAGCATACATTCACTCACTGTTTATGTAATGTCACTGATCACATCATTCACATTGTTGAGCATCACTGAACAAAAGGATCAAAAGTTACTAAAAGAATAAAATCACCAATTACTAAAAGAATATAATCAATCATTTCTGAAATAAAATAAATAATTTTCATTGAATGAATAACACTTGGTACCTAATCTAATTTATGTTTTAATAATTAAACACTAACTATTCTTTATGATTAATAGTAATAAAAACAATATTTTAAAAAAGAATTTAGAAATAATCTTATCTTTAGAATTAAGTCTTATTGTTATAATCATGAGAATAAAGAATTAGAGCCTATGTAGAAATATTAAAAGTTAACTAATCTAGAAATTTTTAAAGTTTTGAATTCTGAATACTGCAAAATTTAAAAATATTTCTTATCTGGAATTGAACTGGCTTATGTTTATATTGACAAATATTTTAAACACTTGAAACAGTGGCCAGCATGTTTGATTCCATCCCTGAGTCTTCCAATCTTATGTTTGTATTGACAAATATTTTAAACAATTGAAACAGTGGCCAGCATGTTTGATTCCATCCCTGAGTCTTCCAATCTTATGTTTATATTGACAAATATTTTAAACACTTGAAACAGTGGCCAGCATGTTTGATTCCATCCCTGAGTCTTCCAATCTTATGTTTGTATTGACAAATACTTTAAACAATTGAAACAGTGGCCAGCATGTTTGATTCCATCCCTGAGTCTTCCAATCTTATGTTTGTATTGACAAATATTTTAAACAATTGAAACAGTGGCCAGCATGTTTGATTCCATCCCTGAGTCTTCCAATCTTATGTTTGTATTGACAAATATTTTAAACAATTGAAACAGTGGCCAGCATGTTTGATTCCATCCCTGAGTCTTCCAATCTTATGTTTATATTGACAAATATTTTAAACACTTGAAACAGTGGCCAGCATGTTTGATTCCATCCCTGAGTCTTCCAATCTTATGTTTGTATTGACAAATACTTTAAACAATTGAAACAGTGGCCAGCATGTTTGATTCCATCCCTGAGTCTTCCAATCTTATGTTTGTATTGACAAATATTTTAAACAATTGAAACAGTGGCCAGCATGTTTGATTCCATCCCTGAGTCTTCCAATCTTATGTTTGTATTGACAAATATTTTAAACAATTGAAACAGTGGCCAGCATGTTTGATTCCATCCCTGAGTCTTCCAATCTGATGCCGCACAGAGCCGCCATCTCTGAGGCACCCAGTGACCCAGTTTTCTTAGACGATCTGGGAGACCTGGGGCAGCAGGACTTCTCTCCTGATGTCATGACCCCACCACGGTCCAACCCCAGTTCAAGTGACGTTTCTTTAGAGAGCAGGTGTCCTACGTGGCTACAGCAGGTAAATCTAAGGTGTCTTACCTGGCTACAGCAGGTAAATCTAAGGTGTCCTACCTGGCTACAGCAGGTAAATCTAAGGTGTCTTACCTGGCTACAGCAGGTAAATCTAAGGTGTCTTGCCTGGCTACAGCAGGTAAATCTAAGGTGTCTTACCTGGCTACAGCAGGTAAATCTAAGGTGTCTTACCTGGCTACAGCAGGTAAATCTAAGGTGTCTTACCTGGCTACAGCAGGTAAATCTAAGGTGTCTTACCTGGCTACAGCAGGTAAACCTAAGGTATCTTACCTGGCTACAGCAGGTAAATCTAAGGTGTCTTACCTGGCTACAGCAGGTAAATCTAAGGTGTCCTACGTGGCTACAGCAGGTAAATCTAAGGTGTCTTACCTGGCTACAGCAGGTAAATCTAAGGTGTCCTACGTGGCTACAGCAGGTAAATCTAAGGTGTCTTACCTGGCTACAGCAGGTAAATCTAAGGTGTCCTACGTGGCTACAGCAGGTAAACTTAAGGTGTCTTACCTGGCTACAGCAGGTAAATCTAAGGTGTCTTACCTGGCTACAGCAGGTAAATCTAAGGTGTCCTACCTGGCTACAGCAGGTAAATCTAAGGTGTCTTGCCTGGCTACAGCAGGTAAATCTAAGGTGTCTTACCTGGCTACAGCAGGTAAATCTAAGGTGTCTTACCTGGCTACAGCAGGTAAATCTAAGGTGTCTTACCTGGCTACAGCAGGTAAATCTAAGGTGTCCTACCTGGCTACAGCAGGTAAATCTAAGGTGTCTTGCCTGGCTACAGCAGGTAAATCTAAGGTGTCTTACCTGGCTACAGCAGGTAAATCTAAGGTGTCTTACCTGGCTACAGCAGGTAAATCTAAGGTGTCTTACCTGGCTACAGCAGGTAAATCTAAGGTGTATTACCTGGCTACAGCAGGTAAATCTAAGGTGTCTTACCTGGCTACAGCAGGTAAATCTAAGGTGTCTTACCTGGCTACAGCAGGTAAACCTAAGGTGTCTTACCTGGCTACAGCAGGTAAATCTAAGGTGTCTTACCTGGCTACAGCAGGTAAATCTAAGGTGTCTTACCTGGCTACAGCAGGTAAATCTAAGGTGTCTTACCTGGCTACAGCAGGTAAATCTAAGGTGTCTTACCTGGCTACAGCAGGTAAATCTAAGGTGTCTTACCTGGCTACAGCAGGTAAATCTAAGGTGTCTTACCTGGCTACAGCAGGCAAATCTAAGGTGTCTTACCTGGCTACAGCAGGTAAATCTAAGGTGTCTTACCTGGCTACAGCAGGTAAATCTAAGGTGTCTTACCTGGCTACAGCAGGTAAATCTAAGGTGTCTTACCTGGCTACAGCAGGTAAATCTAAGGTGTCTTACCTGGCTATAGCAGGTAAATCTACAGCAGGATAATTGCAATGAAAAACTGTATGCTATATATTTTAAATTAAACAAAAAAAACTGTTAATATATGAGCTCAATTCAAGAAAAATGTAACCCCATTAATAAATTTAACCCTTTGTATGCTACACAGGAGCTGGAAGAAGCTGATTTCATCCCCATTCCCACCCCTCCATCTCAAGTGTGTGACCCTGTAACTTCACCAAGTGGAGAGTCCATTCAGGACTTAAATCCATCCAAACCAGCTGACCTAAAATTGTACATTCCAAATACCGAGGTGATGTACTAAATTTACATTTTAAAATAATTTCTATAGAAATTTTGATTTCACTTTTGTTTTTTAACTAGAAAATATGCTAAAAGAATTTTTTCTTCTTTGAATAAACAGACAGAAACTGTAAAGATGTTATTGGAACGTATAGCAAAACTGGAACTAGAAAACACAGAAGTAAGTAATCATAGGTTAGCTCCCCTGCAACAATTAAAAAAAAAAATAAACCTTGCAAATACTTTATAAGTGTAAATTTTGTAATAATTTCTGATATACCTATAAGGTATTTTAACAACTTTCTTTTTAATGTTATGCTTACATATTTTTTTTCTGTGGTTTTCAGTATAATAATACTCAATATTAAGTTTAGTAACTTTACAAATTAAGTAATTTTTTCATCACTCAAACAAGTTTAACAAATATTTTTTTTTCACAGCTTAAAAAAGTTGTAAGGGAGCAAGAAGCAATTATTAAAAAGTTGGGTGGTCAGAATTCATGATGTCGCATGGTAGTTGCATCTGCTGCTGACCGACTGAACAAGTTGTGATAGAAGCAATTATTCAAGAGTTGGGTGGTCAGAATTCATGATGCCGCATGGTGTGTGCATCTCTTGCTGAGAGACTGAACAAGTTGTGATGTGGTCTGCCAAGTTAATGGGACACACCTTTTCAGATATTGGCTGTCTTTAAAGATGTAAGAACATAAGTTGAGAGGTACTTAAGAACTGGTGGTCTCTGGGTAGAATCTGTTGGTGGAATCTGGGTAGAATCTGCTGGTGGAATCTGGGTAGAATCTTTTGGTGGAATCTGGTAGTGGTCTCTGGGTAGAATCTGCTGGTGGCCTCTGGGTAGAATCTGCTAGTGGTCTCTGGGTAGAATCTGCTGGTGGCCTCTGGGTAGAATCTGCTAGTGGTCTCTGGGTAGAATCTGGTAGTGGTCTCTGGGTAGAATCTGCTGGTGGCCTCTGGGTAGAATCTGCTAGTGGTCTCTGGGTAGAATCTGCTGGTGGCCTCTGGGTAGAATCTGCTAGTGGTCTCTGGGTAGAATCTGCTAGTGGTCTCTGGGTAGAATCTGCTCGTGGTCTCTGGGTAGAATCTGCTAGTGGTCTCTGGGTAGAATCTGCTAGTGGTCTCTGGGTAGAATCTGCTAGTGGTCTTTGGGTAGAATCTGCTGGTGGAATTTGCTAGAGCTCTCTGGGTAGAATCTGCTGATAGCCTCTGGGTAGAATCTGCTAGTAGTCTCTGGGTAGAATCTGCTAGTGGTCTCTGGGTAGAATCTGGTAGTGGTCTCTGGGTAGAATCTGCTGGTGGAAATTGCTAGCGCTCTCTGTGTAGAATCTGCTGATGGTCTCTGGGTAGAATCTGCTGTTGATCTCTGGGTAGAATCTGCTAGTGGTCTCTGGGTAGAATCTGCTGGTGGAAATTGCTGGGTAGAATCTGCTGATGGTCTCTGGGTAGAATCTGTTAGTGGTCTCTGGGTAGAATCTGTTAGTGGTCTCTGGGTAGAATCTGCTAGTGGTCTCTGGGTAGAATCTGCTGGTGGAAATTGCTGGGTAGAATCTGCTGATGGTCTCTGGGTAGAATCTGTTAGTGGTCTCTGGGTAGAATCTGTTAGTGGTCTCTGGGTAGAATCTGCTAGTGGTCTCTGGGTAGAATCTGCTAGTGGTCTCTGGGTAGAATCTGCTAGTGGTCTCTGGGTAGAATCTGCTAGTGGTCTCTGGGTAGAATCTGCTAGTGGTCTTTGGGTAGAATCTGCTGGTGGAATTTGCTAGAGCTCTCTGGGTAGAATCTGCTGATAGCCTCTGGGTAGAATCTGCTAGTAGTCTCTGGGTAGAATCTGCTAGTGGTCTCTGGGTAGAATCTGGTAGTGGTCTCTGGGTAGAATCTGCTGGTGGAAATTGCTAGCGCTCTCTGTGTAGAATCTGCTGATGGTCTCTGGGTAGAATCTGCTGTTGATCTCTGGGTAGAATCTGCTAGTGGTCTCTGGGTAGAATCTGCTGGTGGTCTCTGGGTAGAATCTGCTGATGGTCTCTGGGTAGAATCTGTTAGTGGTCTCTGGGTAGAATCTGCTAGTGGTCTCTGGGTAGAATCTGCTAGTGGTCTCTGGGTAGAATCTGCTAGTGGTCTCTGGGTAGAATCTGCTAGTGGTCTCTGGGTAGAATCTGCTAGTGGTCTCTGGGTAGAATCTGCTGATGGTCTCTGGGTAGAATCTGTTAGTGGTCTCTGGGTAGAATCTGCTAGTGGTCTCTGGGTAGAATCTGCTAGTGGTCTCTGGGTAGAATCTGCTAGTGGTCTCTGGGTAGAATCTGCTAGTGGTCTCTGGGTAGAATCTGCTAGTGGTCTCTGGGTAGAATCTGCTAGTGGTCTCTGGGTAGAATCTGCTAGTGGTCTTTGGGTAGAATCTGCTGGTGGAATTTGCTAGAGCTCTCTGGGTAGAATCTGCTGATATAATTTGGGTAGAATCTGTTAGTGGTCTCTGGGTATAATCTGCTAGTGGCCTCTGGGTAGAATCTGCTGGTGATCTCTGGGTAGAATCTGCTAGTGGTCTCTGGGTAGAATCTGCTAGTGGTCTCTGGGTAGAATCTGCTAGTGGCCTCTGGGTAGAATCTGCTAGTGATCTCTGGGTAGAATCTGCTAGTGATCTCTGGGTAGAATCTGCTAGTGAACTCTGGGTAGAATCTGCAGCATTTTACCATGCCTTATGAAGAATGTGTACAAGATTATTCTGAATGATTGACACTACCTATTACGTGGCGAAGGACCTAAGATGTATTGTGGCAGCTGGTCTAGCCCAACTTACTCCAGTAAAAATTTCAATGACCTACACTGTTCCATGATCACTAGCCCATGACTAACTTATCATGAACTTACTCCAGTAACAATTTCAGTAACCTACACTGTTCCATGATCACTAGCCCATGACTAACTTATCATGAACTTACTCCAGTAACAATTTCAGTGACCTATACTGTTCCATGATCACTAGCCCATGACTAACTTATCATGAACTTACTCCAGTAACAATTTCAGTAACCTACACCGTTCCATGATCACTAGCCCATGACTAACTTATTATGAACTTACTCCAGTAACAATTTCAGTGACCTATACTGTTTCATGATCACTAGCCCATGACTAACTTATCATGAACTTACTCCAGTAACAATTTCAGTAACCTACACTATTCCATGATCACTAGCCCATGACTAACTTACCATGTGATGTAAACAACATAAAAATATAAAAACTGAGGACAGTTGACCAATAAAACCGATTTATTTGTATATGTAGGTGTTCTAGTCTCAAGATTTTATGTTAAATTTTCTAATCAGCTCAGTTAAAATAAAACATGAAATTTTCTGTTAACAGAGCTACCACTGTTAACTGGTCTGGTTAAATACAGTAGTGGTTAACTGAGTGGTTAAGTGAGTGGTTAAGTGATTGGATGTTACGTAAGTGGTTAAATCTGTAGTAATTAAATGATAGTTGTTTAATCAAATATTTAAATAAACTACGGGTGTCACGTGGTGCTATAAGTAAAGGTGTCATGTGGTGCAGTAACTGAGGGTGTCACCTGGTGCTCAGTGGCGTGCAGAGGTGTGTAGATGCCCGGGGCAACTGAAGGAGAGGATGCCCTCCCCAACCCCACCCCCCTATGTATATATATATATATATATATATATATATATATATATATATATATATATATATATATATATATATATATATATGTGTGTGTGTGTGTGTTATAATAACTTATAATACATACATGTATTGGAGTTTATAAGAGCTAATTCTGAGATCACCAGAATCGGTCATACAATATAAATAAGTACACATTGAATAGAATAGTATATAAACAAAACAATACAGTTCAATAATTAGTTAGGGTTCCCCAGGTGTGCCCTTCTTTCAGAAAATGTCTTCACCGCCTCCTGCTTGACATCAGCTGTTAAGAATTCTTTTTCAATACTTATCAGAGCTAGATTTGTTAGCCTCTCATTTGACATTGAGGACCTTAGATGTGTTTTAATTAATTTAAGTTTAGAAAAAGACCTTTCACAACTAGCGATCGAAAACGCAATTGTGAGAAGTATCCTATATGCTATACATACTGTTGGGAATACATCACATCCAAATTCTATTAGTGATTGTAGTACATCTTTTGGCTCACACGGAACTGTGGATCCTGCAGCTCGAATGAGTATCACAAAGTCAACAATTTCATCAAACAAGCTTGCTCCCGTAACATCGTTGTCGTAGAATTTATCAAATTCGTCACAATCGCATTTCAATTGCTGTTTCTCCTTTTCGTCGTCTATTTTAACAGAATTTAGATTCAACAGAAACGAAAACCGGTTTTTCAAAACTTCAAGCCGAACACTGCGATCATTAATTTCCATTTTTAACCGATTGATAATCTCATGCATTACTCGGTTGATTTCCTGCTGTGCCGTTAGTCCAACATCTCTTGTTGTTTCACCAGCCATCATATTTCTTCTCCTTGTTCGAGCTATAGGTATTTCCCATTTGTCACAATATTCATTTGATGAAATTATCGCGGTGTTAATTATATCTTCAGCCTTTAAGTTTAATATTTCAGCTAGCCCTTTTAAATCTTGAGATGCTTGATGAAATCCCATTTTCGGATCTTGTAATCGTTTTGAAACTTTCTGCACTGCTGCTAAAATAGCACACCAAAAATTCAACAAAGACAAAAAGTTAAACTGTTGAATAGCGTTTAAAAGCGATCCAGCGTCAGACTTCGTATCTGTTGAAAAATCTCCTTCTTGTAAATGTTCAAGGCTAGAAATGATATTATCTATTTCTTCTTGAATTGCATGTACAGCATCATATCGTGAGCTCCATCTTGTGTCACAGTGTCTTTTGACTGATAATTTAGTAAATGTTTTTAATACTTCCCAGCGTGAACACGATGATGTAAAAAAAGTGAAAACTTTTTCCACGGTTCCAAAAAAAGTGACTACAACAGGTTGAACTTCACTTGCATGAACGCATGCTAAGTTAAGGCTGTGGTTTTCGCAATTAACAAAAACTGCCTTTGGGTTAATGTCGATAATTTTTCTTTGAACGCCTCCTTTAACCCCTGCCATAACTGATGCATTATCATATGATTGACCACGACAATCAGTAATAGAAATACCATCTTCTGCCAACTTTTCTAACATTTTACTTACCAAGCTTTCTGCATCTTTTTTATTTACCTGAAAATAACCCAAAAATACTTCCTTTATTTCAACTTTTTTGTTTTCATTAATGCGCACATACCTCATAATGTGAGATACCTATCTTCATGCGAAATATCTGGAGTTGAATCTACCATTATTGTATAATATTTAGCAGCCTTTATTTCTAAAATAATTCGACTCTTTATAGTTTTGCAAAGGAGATCAATAATTTCATTTTGAATCCTATTAGATAAGTATGTGACACCTTTAGGCGTGTCCTTCTCTCTCTGCAGGTGATCAGCTAAAACAACATCATATTTTGCCATAAGCCTAACTACTGCTAGGAAATTCCCGGTGTTTTCACTGATTGTTTTTTTTGGCTTTGCTAAAGCCCACATTCCTTCTCCTCGATGTCCCCGAAAAGCCATGTTCTGTTTGGCCATGAATGAAATTATTTCAACAATCCTTTCAGTTATGGCTACCCATTTTTTCTTTTCTGTAGATATTTGTTCTTGTAGCTCAGCATCTATTGTGGTGCATTGCCTAAGTCGAACAACAAGGTTCAAGTATTCCCTCATGTACGCTCTATGAGATGGACTTTTCTCGTGATCCGGTATACGGGGATTCAGCTTTCTCCATTTGGAGAAACCTTTTTCCAGGCTAAAATTTGATGCTGACGACGACTGCTCGTTTGAAAAAAAAACAAAAACAAAAACAAAACAATAACAGACGTTTTTATGTGGAGAGTACAGCAGCCATTTTCTCTGCACAACCTCGTCATTTGTCGAGTGCTTCTCAAACCACTGTTTGGTAAAAGATCTGTCATCTTTGTCACATGTTGGGCGAAACGGACCATTTTTGTGCTGATATTTTTCTGGGCCGCATTCAACTATTGTCATCTTTAGCTGATCTGGAATATGCTTTCTCAAATAGCCAAAATCATTTTCTTTCAAAAACATGCACAGATCCGTATCATCGCGCTCACGGGTGTCACTAGTCGCGCTAGAGACTGCATTTGGTTCAGACTGACAAGGGTTTATATCAGAACAATCGTGTGAGGTTGATTGTCCTGAACACGCATCACCTTTCACTTCTACATCAACATTTCTTCTTTTGATCCATGCATTTAATGCGCCTCTTTGAAGGTGTTCAGTTTCGTCTCTGGTCCTCTTTTTCTTTCTATTCTGTGCTCCGCTCGGTTGTACTTTCTTCATATTGCTTAAATTTTGTTAAAATTTACTAGATCTATGTCGTCAATCCCAAATTATCGGCAATTAGGGCAGCTAATATACTACTTCCCTGCTTATTTATGTCCCCCAATACACTGTTTTTAAAAAAAAAGGAGCGGACCTTAAAAAATTAAGATGTAATTAGTTTTATTGTTTTGTTTATAATTTACGCAAAAGTTGAAACTTCTCACTTAATGTGATTTGCTGTTTACTAAAATATCAAATCACTTTTGGCAAGTTAACAAATCACTAAAGAGAATTTAATCACAAGCAAAAATAAAATAAATAATTCGAAAATCGCTCTAATGCAATAAAGTGGTTATTGTTCGTTCAATGGCCAGTGGTTAATATAAAAGTCATGCGTTTAGGTATATTATATAAAGAGACAATGTTAGTAAGCACACAATTTTAGATAAATTACAATATCAACCAGCATTAGTGGTTAAAATTAAAACAAATAGGAAAACATTGACAGATTTGGACACTTAGCTCGAATTGTGGGAAAAACACTGTTTTCGGCTATAGAATCCAAGAGAAATATCTCTCAAATGTAATAAGAACGCTCAGTAGTGTGGGGTTTAGGGGTGGGTGACAGTAGATGCTTCGAGATTTGGGGTGGGTGAAAGTTGGGGGGGGGGGGTGAGGTGAAATATCACGCAGACTGTGCATTTAAATTTATGGCTATGGGATGGAACATCCCCAAAACAAAGTCTCCAGATTCGAGTACTACATTACTGGATCTCTGGCCGTGCCAATAGAGCGTCCAGGTATTACATTACCGGTCTTACAATAGGAGGTTTGTGCCTAAAGTGACGGGGTGGGGGAACAAGTGACAGCCAGCTACACCTTATTGATGTGTTTTTCGACGGTACGACCGGGCGGCCGCGAATGCCGGTAAGGGGTCATCCATTTGTGACGTCCACACCATTTTGGGATTTTGAACCCCCCTGTCCACAAACGTCCACTTTTGATGGAGCCCCCCCCCCCCCCCCCCCATGTACGTCCACACTGACTATAAGTTTTTGCATAATCTTCTTCCACTTTTACTCAAACAACTGCATTAAGTGTGTATATACTCTGAGTGTATATACTATTACAACATTTTTGTTATCATTTTCATTTTTCAAACTAACCGAAAAATCCCATTAATAAAACACAGGAGACCAAAATATTTATTACCAAAAAATATTATATTCCTAAAATGAAATGCAATTCTTACCTGTATCCTTTTTGGGTTGCCTGGCCCAAAATGATAAAGATCGGGACTGATTTATCCTGATGACGTCCTGCAGTTCAACTAATTTAGCTGTAAATTAAATTGTTCTTCTGGCTGCCTCTTTAAATTAAGCCATAGGCTATTAACCTCTTTTTGAAGTTGATATTTCAATTTGGAAGGACAAGCCTTTTGATACAAATCATTTAATTTAGCATATTTCGTGGTGTTTTGACTAGCCATTATTTCGCACACTTGTAGTCGCATTGACACTGTTATATTACTGAGTCCAACGTTGATGCTAGTGTGTATTAACGCCCCCCCCCCCCTGTCCCACACCTGAACAGGGACAGCGTGCTAACGCCCCCCCCTCCACCCCTCTCCCGTCTCACAACTGAACTGGGATGATCCCGCCTACCTAGAGAAATGCAGGCTAGGGGCAATGCAGGTCGCCTGGTATTTGACATGGGATGCAAATGGGGAAACAGGTAATTGGATCCTATTGTATTCGAGGTTAAGCCAGGGCATAGACCCAAGCTGGGTGGTGGGCCAGAGAGATAGGACAGATGAACGTTAGCTTCGCTAGGAAATATTTTTCTTTCACACTACCAAAAATAATGTTAGATTTAATGTGTGGACGTCCACATTGGGCCACCCCCCCCTCCCCCTGTCCACAAAAGTCAATTTTTTTCGGACCCCCCCCCCCCCCCCCAGTGTGGACGTCATAAATGGATGACCCCTAATTAAGAAGTGTAAGACTTAAGGACAACTTTAGAATGAAGTTAACTCGGCCCGGCCCTGTGTCAAAACAGTACGGACTTGAAAGTTTGTATTTAACCGTACACAAAAATCCAAATGGCCATGAATAAAGAATATCATTAGAATAAAAAAAAACCAATAGGCTGTGTGCTTAATCAGTCTACGAATGCCGTTACGTCCATCATAATAAATAAGGATGCCCTACAAACATTATGCAATGAATAGAAACATAATAAAGATGCCCGATAAAATATAAAGCGAACAAGGGCATAATTACTGTAGGGATGCCCTTCAGACATTCAATAATGAATATAAGCATAATAAATATCCGATAATATATAAACGAATATGGGCATAATTGCTGTAATTATATAAATACAAACGTGAATACAAGTAAATTACTTTAAAGATGCCCTGACGATATATAAAATGTATGCGGGCATAATTACTGTTTGGATGCCCTTCAAAAGTATTATGATGAATATAAGCAAATTACATTAAAGATGCCCCAACAGTGTGTAAATTATAATCATGGGCTTTAATACTCTATGGATGACCACAAAGTATAAAATGATTATGGGCGTGTTCTCTAAAAGATGCCCCTACAGTGTGTAAATTATAATCATGGGCTTTAATACTCTATGGATGACCACAAAGTATAAAATGATTATGGGCGTGTTCTCTAAAAGATGCCCCTACAGTGTGTAAATTATAATCATGGGCTTTAATACTCTATGGAGGACCACAAGTGTATAAAATGATTATGGGCGTGTTCTCTAAAAGATGCCCCTACAGTGTGTAAATTATAATCATGGGCTTTAATACTCTATGGATGATCACAAGTGTATAAAATGATTATGGGCGTGTTCTCTAAAAGATGCCCCTACAGTGTGTAAATTATAATCATGGGCTTTAATACTCTATGGATGACCACAAGTGTATAAAATGATTATGGGCATGTTCTCTAAAAGATGCCCCTACAGTGTGTAAATTATAATCATGGGCTTTAATACTCTATGGATGACCACAAGTGTATAAAATGATTATGGGCATGTTCTCTAAAAGATGCCCCTACCTACACAAGTATCAGATACTCTATTAATTGAAAGACTGCATACATTTATTCGGGGAATATCAATGACTACTACACCACTACCCTTCACCGATGCCCCTTTCTCCCTGAAGGTTGTACGACACGGACAGTACGATGACTATATGAGTGCCATGTGTTAATTGTGGCTACAGGACATTACCCCCCTGGAAATTTCACCCCCGGACATTTCCCCCCCGTATTTACCCCCCGGAGCAATTACCCCCCTGTCAATTACCCCCCTGGGGAATTACCCCCCCCCTCTCAATCCTAACTCTAACTAGAATTCTATACTATACTACTTTATACTACTTTATATACTACTTTATACTACTTTAATCCGAACCTTAAGAAAAAGACAAAAACCTAAGCATCCACCTTAGCCTAAAACTTCACACAAAACCAAAACCAACGCTAGACACAACCCTAACCCTAACCCTAATACTAGCTCTAACCCTAACCCTAGCCCTAACCCTAACCCTAGCCCTAGCCCTAACCCTAACCCTAACCCTAGCCCTAGCCCTAGCCCTAACCCAAACCCTAGCTCTAAAACCTAACCCTAACCCTAGCCCTGGCCCTAACCCTAACCCTAACCCTAGCCCTAACCCTAGCCCTAGCCCTAGCCCTAACCATAACCCTTGCCGTAATTTTCTAGCCCTAACCCTAATCCTAGCCCTAACCCTAACCAGAAACCTAGCCCTAACCCTAACTCTAACCCTGTCCGGGGGGGTAATGTCCTACTGGGTGGGGGGTAATTGACAGGGGGGTAATTGACAGGGGGGGTAATTACTCTGGGGGGTAATGTCGGGGGGGAAATGTCCGGGGGGTAATTGACAGGGGGAAATGCCCTGTTCCCGTTGATTGTATATACACATTTCGGTGAATTCGGCAAATTGTGATAATTTTATAATTCTGCCTAGGTAGACAAACCTTAGTAGACATTTAGCTATCCTAAAAAAAAAAAAAAAAAAAAAAATTTAAAATTTAAAAAAAAATCATTTTTAACCCCCTTTGGATGCCCCCTTGATGTGGCTGCCCGGGGCCTGGGCCCCCTCCGCCCCCCCCCCCCCCTCTGCACGCCACTGCTGGTGCTACAACAGAGGGTGTCAACTTGTGCTGTAACTGTGTCATGTGGTGCCGTAACTGAGGGTGTCACGTGTTTTTTTTTATTGACTATCATGAAATAAAATATTTGGTTTGAAGTTATCGCTTTTTTCATCATTGAATATATGGTATCATCTACTGAGGATGCGTCCTCAATAGAAATATCTCCTGGTGGACAAAATTGCCCTTTCATTTAGCTGTAGGGTAACACTGTCAGCACTGTCCTAAGGATATCTGTTTTTTTAGATTGTAATTATTAGTTGAACCAGTGTGTTTAGGTCAGCAGTGGAACCAGTGTAGTCAACAGTTTAACTTGTGTGTTTGGAAATGAGTATAATGAGACAAATAAACATAATTAAAATAGCAACTATCATTTAATTTTACAACAATTGACAGCAAATGTTAACACAAATTGTTGTAGCAGTGAGGCCAAACATTCACACCACACGGAGCAACAAGGCCCTAGACTGGAGACGTCTAGCTGCTCAGGTCACATTCCGGCATGACGTTCTGGTGGTGTGGCTTCTCCTGGGTGCCGTACAGGATCAGGAGGGCGCTATTAAGCTGTCCAGTATAGTCGTCTGTCGTTTGCTGAAACACAAACAATTAGCTAAGTCGTCATTCGTTTGCTGAAACACAAACAATTAGCTAAGTCGTCAGTCGTTTGCTGAAACACAAACAATTAGCTAAGGCGTCAGTCGTTTGATGAAACACAAACAATTCGCTAAATAATTTTTCGCGCGTTTGGTTTACTCCATTTGTAAGTCACCCCCCCCTCCCCACCTCACATTGTAATACACACAGCTCACTCTGTCCCACACAGAATACACCCTGTTCCACGCACAACTTACAGTTACATACAGAGGTATGTACCCCACTCACCTCACTATATCCTACACAACACTCCCACACAACCCAGTCATCCCCCCAAACTCACCCTATCCCCCACACAAGACACTGTCCCCCCTCCCCCAAAACTCACCCTATCCCCCACACAAGACACTGTCTCCCACACAACTCACCCTATCCCCCACACGAAACTTCCATAGACCCTGAGATTTCTCCCCCCAGTTGTGAACGCTAGTCAAAGGCCAAGCTTTGATTCCCTTTTTGCAGTTGTCCTTGGGCCGTTCCAGAAAGACGGGCGTTACGGTTCCTGTGTTAGGGTAGAAAGGTGGTTTACCTGATTATAATAGCCTATGTATTAGAATATATATATATATATATATATATATATATATATATATATATATATATATATATATATATATATATATATATATATATATAAAAGCTACTTTCACATCTAAAGTGTGTACATACATCCATACCTAACTTCGTTACATGGATACATATTTCATGCAGGTAAAAACTAAGCTAACCCACCCATGGGCGACTCCAGCTCAGCGTAGATCCTGCCCCTAAAGTCGTGGTCCACATCAATGACTACCTGGACCCTCTCCAGCCAGTTGACCTCATTCTCCTGACCTTGACATCCGTTACTTGTGTGCACAACTTCCACCATTGTGCCCGGTGTAATCTTCCTGTAGGAAAAACACACAGCGAGTTAACACACACATACCACATGTTTTATGTAAGTCCACACACAGCGCGTTAAACTGGTCGCACACACACATACCACATAATGTTTTATGTGAGTCCACACACAGCGCGTTAATCTGACCGCATACACATACCACATAATGTTTTATGTGAGTCCACACCCAGGCTCACTATTTACCTACGAATTAATTAACAATTTAATATCGAAGAGCTATTTGTTTGAATTAATTAGCGCAAGCACATGACACGACAAAAAATGGTCTCACAGTGGCAGACTGCTGTTGTTATCCGGTGCCATCCGACACTCGTGAAGTGGCCCAACTGACTGCCAGGTTTTTGGGTTGGCCAGCTGGATCATGGCCTGGGCATCCAACAACCCGAACCCGAAGTTTGGGTGCAAGCAGTACCCGGCGCCATTTTTGTACCTGGAAGTGACGTCATGATGAGTTACTGCGTTACATTTAAAGAAGGGATTTGTGTTCTATATAAATTCAATTTCGTTAGGTGGGGCGGTAGACTTAACTTCGGGGGGGGGGGCTGGAAGAAACTCTGGTTCGAGGTCAAAGTTCAAATAACGGACGTGTACTCAGGTCAAAGTTCATATAAGGGACGTGTACTCAGGTCAAAGTTCAAATAACGGACGTGTACTCAGGTCAAAGTTCAAATAACGGACGTGTACTCAGGTCAAAGTTCTAAGAACGGACGTGTACTCACCAACCTGACACACCAGAGAGCGGCCTCTTTTTGGACGTGTGAGCAACAATATGGTGTACGTCACGCCACGTCAGGTCTGGACTGTAAGACAAGTGGTTTCACACACGTGTTTGTGGGGATGTTTGTGGAGGTGTGGGGATGTTTGTGGGGATGTTTGTGGGGATGTGTGGATGTTTGTGGAGATGTGGGGAAGTTTGTGGAGATGTTTGTGGAGATGTGGGGAAGTTTGTGGGGATGTGGGGATGTTTGTGGAGATATGTATGGTGTAGGCATTTCTAGATGTGCGTGTACACTATTAGTACATAAATATATACAATATTAATACAATCTACCCTGCCCATATATATATATATATATATATATATATATATATATATATATATATATATATAATGTATATAAAATATAATATTTTAATAATAATCTATAATAATAGTTTCGCTGTCTGTCTGTCTATCTATCTATCTATCTATCTATCTATCTATCTATCTATCTATCTATCTATCTATCTATCTATCTATCTATCTATCTATCTATCTATCTATCTATCTATCTATCTATCTATCTATCTATCTATCTATCTATCTATCTATCTATCTATCTATCTATCTATCTATCTATCTATCTATCTATCTATCTATCTATCTATCTATCTATCTATCTATCTATCTATCTATCTATCTATCTATCTATCTATCTATCTATCTATCTATCTATCTATCTATCTATCTATCTATCTATCTATCTATCTATCTATCTATCTATCTATCTATCTATCTATCTATCTATCTATCTATCTATCTATCTATCTATCTATCTATCTATCTATCTATCTATCTATCTATCTATCTATCTATCTATCTATCTATCTATCTATCTATCTATCTATCTATCTATCTATCTGTCTGACAAGAACGCTCTAGAGAAAACACAAGCAATTTAAAAACATGCATAGTAATTCGAAAAACGAAGTATGACGTCGACACATTTAGCGCACAGAGTAGAAAATAATCTCAAGCCGGATAGTGCACACATTGATATGACGTCATTGATTATCGAGTAAACATTCAATACAAAGGCAATTTGGTGTAATCTAAGTGGTTTGCGTGAAGAGTTCCTTTCATACAATTCTTCGGGTAGGGGCGAAGCCCCACCCCCGCGTAAGAACGTTTGAGCCCCCCCCCCCCTCGGGGAGGGGGCGGACACTGGAAAAAGTATATAATTATATTTCGTTGAATGGGACGGTAGACATGTTTTTTTAGGGGGGTGGAATGGGGTGTGTGTGTGTGGGGGGGGGGGGTGGGGTGGTTTTAATTTAGACTTTTTCCTCCCCGGAGAGGGGTGGTGGTACTTGAAATTTTCGGTGGCGGGGGTAGAATTTTCGGGGAGGGGGCGGACACTGGAAAAAGTATATAATTATATTTCGTTGAATGGGACGGTATACATGTTTTGTGGGGGGTGGGGGTGTGGTGGGGGGTGGGGGTGGTGTGTGTGGGGGGTGGGGGGGGTGGTGTGTGTGGTGGGTGGGGTGGTTTTAGTTTAGACTTTTTCCTCCCCGGAGAGGGGTGGGGGTACTTGAAATTTTCGGGGGCGGGGGTAGAATTTTCGGGGAGGGGGCGGACACTGGAAAAAGTATATAATTATATTTCGTTGAATGGGACGGTATACATGTTTTGTGGGGGGTGGGGGTGTGGTGGGGGGTGGGGGTGGTGTGTGTGTGGGTGGGGGGTGGTGTGTGTGTGGGTGGGGGGTGGTGTGTGTGGGGGTGGGGGGTGGGGGGTGGGGGGTGGTTTTAGTTTAGAGAAAAGAGACAGCACTATCAGCCTAGCGCCCGGTGTATCCTTCCTCAACGGGCCATTTTTCTCGTATATATATATGTATATAATGTATATAACATATAATATTTGTGTGTGACAATATTAGAGATTTAGAGTGTTTGTGTGTAGATTTAAAATGTGTGCGTATATAACGTCAACACATTCATGTCTAGTATTCTCTTGTACCCAGAATGCCTCACTTTGATTCTAGAAGAAGTGCTAAAGCACCCGCAGCCATCGGTGCAGAAGCAGATGTCCCTGTGTGGCTATCTGTGCATCCGTTGTGAATATCTGAACTCACCTATATATATATATATATATATATATATATATATATATATATATATATATATATATATATATATATATATATATATATATATAGTGGTTTTGTAGAAGAGCCTAGTAAGTATCGAGTTGTTTTATGAGGTAAACACGAGAGGGACGTGTAGATAAATTACCACCCCCCTTCCGTAGCCGTTGCTGTAGGTGGTCGTCATGGTGGAGGCACAGCGTTCAGAGTAGCTGGGGATGGTGCCATGCTGGGGAGCAAACACGTACTGGTGGTTATGTAGGTACTAGACATGTGTGTGGGGGGGGGGGGGACTTACAAGTCACGTGACATCGACACTAACAAAAACTTCTGCTTCCGCCAGGTCCTATACTTAAATGTACCTGGCCAGTAGTTGTAATCGTTAACATGCTTACACTCACACCCATATCAACATGCAGAATAACACCTAATATTAAGTTAACATGTACACACCCATATATATATATATATATATATATATATATATATATATATATATATATATATATATATATATATATATATATATATATATATATATATATATAGGCCTATGTATGCGTGTGTGTATCGACAAAGACTTACTTCAGTAGCACTGTTGACACTGATGATGTGTGTGTGTCTGTGTGTGTGTCTGTGTGTGTGTCTGTGTGTGTGTGTGTCTGTGTGTGTGTGTATCGACAAAGACTTACTTCAGTAGCACTGTTGACACTGATGATGATGTGTGTATGTGTGTGTGTGTGTGTCTGTGTGTGTGTGTCTGTGTGTCTGTGTGTGTGTGTGTATCGACAAAGACTTACTTCAGTAGCACTGTTGACACTGATGATGATGTGTGTATGTGTGTGTGTGTGTGTCTGTGTGTGTGTGTCTGTGTGTCTGTGTGTGTGTGTGTATCGACAAAGACTTACTTCAGTAGCACTGTTGACACTGATGATGTGTGTGTGTGTCTGTGTGTGTCTGTGTGTGTGTGTCTGTGTGTGTGTGTGTGTCTGTGTGTGTGTGTATCGACAAAGACTTACTTCAGTAGCACTGTTGACACTGATGATGATGTGTGTATGTGTGTGTGTGTGTCTGTGTGTGTGTGTGTGTATCGACGAAGACTTACTTCTGTAGCACTGTTGACACTGATGAATGTGATGATGTGTGTGTGTGTCTGTGTGTGTGTGTGTATCGACGAAGACTTACTTCAGTAGCACTGTTGACACTGATGATGTGTGTGTGTCTATGTGTGTGTCTGTGTGTGTATGTGTCTGTGTGTGTGTGTGTGTGTGTCTGTGTGTGTCTGTGTGTGTGTATCGACGAAGACTTACTTCTGTAGCACTGTTGTCACTGATGATGATGTGTGTGTGTCTGTGTGTGTGTCTGTGTGTGTCTGTGAGTGTGTGTATCGACGAAGACTTACTTCAGTAGCACTGTTGACACTGATGATGATGTGTGTATGTGTGTGTGTGTGTCTGTGTGTGTGTGTCTGTGAGTGTGTGTATCGACGAAGACTTACTTCAGTAGCGCTGTTGACACTAATGATGTGAATGTTTGAAGCGTAACCGTCAGCGTTACAGTGGTCATGTTTACCTCCGTCACCTGAAGCCCAGACGTACAGGCTACCTTTGCCACCCCGACCCTAGATAGATGGGGTTAACAGATTAGACCTACAGCAAAACATTAACCCCCCCCCCCCCCAACCCCACAGATTAGCCATACATCAACCCATAAACGCGAGGTCTATGTTGGGCGAGGTCTATGTTTCTGTGTAAAAACCAATAAACTTTGTGTGAAGTCACATCACATCTACAACTACCTAACCAAACAGAAAGTTAGGATTAAATCAAAGGTTAACCTCTTTAACACCAAGCTCATAAGCTTTCTGTGCTATGAGGGATGGGCCATCCAGCAGTTCGCCGTTGTCCTGTGGCCCCCAGCTACAAGAATAGATGTCAACTTCCTCCCGCTTGTAAGCAAACACCTCGCCGTCCAGCCTTTTCGTCAAGGCACCGTCCAACACTCGAATTGCTTCAAAAACACGTCACATTTAGTAAACGAAACAATTTGAAAGTGAGTTGCTTTTGTTATGAAATTTGCTAAACAATCATACAGAGTTTTTAAAAATATTAATTTTGTGCTTTAATAAACTTCACTATAACAAAGAATTTTAAATAAATTACCAAATTACCAATGTAATGTACCTACTGTAGCACTAATGTAATGTACCTACTGTAGCCCTAATGTATTGGACCTACTGTAGCACTAATGTATTGGACCTACTGTAGCACTAATGTAATATACCTACTGTAGCACTAATGTAATATACCTACTGTAGCACTAATGTACCTACTGTAGCACTAATGTACCTACTGTAGCACTAATGTAATTTACCTACTGTAGCACTAATGTACCTACTGTAGCACTAATGTACTGTACCTACTGTAGCACTAATGTACCTACTGTAGCACTAATGTACCTACTGTAGCACTAATGTACCTACTGTAGCACTAATGTACCTACTGTAGCACTAATGTAATTTACCTACTGTAGCACTAATGTACCTACTGTAGCACTAATGTACTGTACCTACTGTAGCACTAATGTACCTACTGTAGCACTAATGTACCTACTGTAGCACTAATGTACCTACTGTAGCACTAATGTAATTTACCTACTGTAGCACTAATGTACCTACTGTAGCACTAATGTACTGTACCTACTGTAGCACTAATGTAATTTACCTACTGTAGCACTAATGTATTGGACCTACTGTAGCACTAGTGTAATATACCTACTGTAGCACTAATGTAATATACCTACTGTAGCACTAATGTACTGTACCTACTGTAGCACTAATGTACTGTACCTACTATACTACTAATGTACTGTACCTACTGTAGCACTAATGTACCTACTGCAGCACTAATGTAATGTACCTGGTGTAGCACTAATGTACTGTACCTACTGTAGCACTAATGTACTGTACCTTCTGTAGTACTAATGTACTGTACCTACTATACTCTTAATGTACTGTACCTACTGTAGCACTAATGTAATATACCTACTGTAGCACAAATGTACTGTACCTACTATACTACTAATGTACTGTACCTACTATAGCACTAATGTACCGTACCTACTATACTACTAATGTACTGTACCTACTATAGTACTAATGTACTGTACCTACTATACTACTAATGTACTGTACCTACTGTAGCACTAATGTACTGTACCTACTGTACCTACTGTAGCACTAATGTACTGTACCTACTGTAGCATTAATGTATTGTACCTACTATAGCACTAATGTACTGTACCTACTGTATCCACTGTACCACTAATGTACTGTATCTACTATAGCACTAATGTACTGTACCTACTGTATCCACTGTACCACTAATGTACTGTACCTACTGTATCCACTGTACCACCAATGTACTGTACCTACTATAGCACTAATGTACTGTACCTACTATATCCACTGTACCACTAATGTACTGTACCTACTGTACCTACTGTAGCACTAATGTATTGGACCTACTGTAGCACTAGTGTAATATACCTACTGTAGCACTAATGTAATATACCTACTGTAGCACTAATGTACCTACTGTAGCACTAATGTACTGTACCTACTGTAGCACTAGTGTAATATACCTACTGTAGCACTAATGTAATATACCTACTGTAGCACTAATGTACTGTACCTACTGTAGCACTAATGTACTGTACCTACTATACTACTAATGTACTGTACCTACTGTAGCACTAATGTACCTACTGCAGCACTAATGTAATGTACCTGGTGTAGCACTAATGTACTGTACCTACTATAGTACTAACGTACTGTACCTCCAATGTTGCTGTTGAAGGCTATGCCGACACCGCAGATGTGGTTGTCTGCCATCATGGAAACGACCCCAGCACACCTCGTACCGTGGCTTATAAAACACATTCTTTTAAAAACTAATGGTTATTGATGATCTTACTTACATTTTGTAAACTACAACTTATTGATGATCTTACTTACATTTTGTAAACTACAACTTATTGATGATCTTACTTACATTTTTTAAACTACAACTTATTGATGATCTTACTTACATTTTTTAAACTACAACTTATTGATGATCTTACTTACATTTTTAAACTACAACTTATTGATGATCTTACTTACATTTTTAAACTAAAACGTATTGATGATGTTTCTTACATTTTTAAACTACAACTTATTGATGATGGGATGTACATTTTTAAAGTACAACTTATTGATGATGTTACCTACATTTTTTAAACCTAACACTAATTGTTGATGTTATTTTTATGTCAAAACGTGGCTAGATTAAACTGTGTTCCTGGGAGGAGTCACTAATTAGATAAACTGTGACTCTAGGAGGAGTCACTAATTAGATAAACTGTGACTCTGAGAGGAGTCACTAATTAGATAAACTGTGACTCTAGGAGGAGTCACGCATGGACTCACTTGTTAGAATTCTCATTGTCATAACGGGGAGTAGGGTCGGTGTCATTGTCGAAGAAATCATGGCTGACGTTTGCATTCTGGGGAAGAAATACTATTGGTGACACACAACACTGGTGACACACAACACTGGTGACACACAACACTGGTGACACACAACACTGGTGACACACAACAATGGTGACACTAGGTGACACACAACGTTGGTGACACACAACACTGGTGACACACAACATTGGTGACACACAACACTGGTGACACACATCACTGGTGACACACAACAATGGTGACACTAGGTGACACACAACGTTGGTGACACACAACACTGGCGACACACAACATTGGTGACACACAACACTGGTGACACAAAACACTGGTGACACCAGGCGATACACAAAATTGGTGACGCACACTACTGGTGACACTAGGTGAAACACAACGTTGGTGACACACATTGCTGGTTATGGTGATTATACATATTTTTACACGGTCATGTAAAGTGTTGAAATGCAACGCTGGTCAAACTACATTGATGCTGGTGATACAATATTTGTGACACTATAGTCGTGACACAACAATGGTGAGACACAACATTTGTGGTGGTGACACACAACAATGGTATTATACAAAATAGGTGACACTTGATGATATACGACTTTAGTAACACAGAATTTTCTGATATTTGGTGACACACAAGTCGTGGCAGACATCATTAGTGGAACACAACATTTGTCAAAAACCTTTTTGTCAAAAACATTTGTCAAAAACCTTTTTGTCAAAACAATTGTCAAAAACATTTTTGTCAAAAACATTTTTGTCAAAAACAAACTTTTTTGGCAAAAAACATTTTGTCAAAAACATTTTGTCAAAAAACATTTTTGTCAAAGGTTAAACATCTTTGTCAAACATTTTTGGCAAAAAACATTTTGTCAAAAACATTTTGTCAAAAAACATTTTTGTCAAAGGTTAAACATTTTTGTCAAAAACATTTGTCAAAAACATGTGTCAAAAACATATTGTCAAAAATTGTCAAAAACATTTGTCAAAAACATTTGTCAAAAACATGTGTTAAAAACATTTGTCAAAAATTGTCAAAAACATTTGTCAAAAACATTTGTCAAAAACATTTTGTCAAAAAAACATTTTTGTCAAAGGTTAAACATTTTTGTCAAAAACATTTGTCAAAAACATTTGTCAAAAACATGTGTCAAAAACATTTGTCAAAAATTGTCAAAAACATTTTGTCAAAAACATTTTGTCAAAAATATTTTGTTAAAAACATTTTTGTCAAAGGTTAAACATTTTTTTCAAAAACATTTGTCAAAAACAATTGCCAAAAACATTTGTCACATTATGTGTCAACAAAAGTGGCAGAGAACAAAGTGAAGTTCCACTTTCAGACCGAACGAACCATAGGGCAGATGAAGTAGAGTTAATATGTGAGCTCGGCGTATGAAGGGATAATGTAGTTAGCATTATGCCCAGCCGCTTATATTTTCCCTAACGTGAGCCAGGTACTCGTCAGAGCTGAGTGGACTCAGAGACGTCCTGCAGTCTCCATTCATGACCGAGATACGAACTAGAGACCATCAGGCTAGCAGTCGAGCGCTCTACCGCCAGACCACGCCGTCCAAAACAGACCAAAGTAAGAACTTTAAAAATGATGTCGTGGACATTAATGAATAAAACACAAGTGGAGATGTATTATAACAGAGATAATAAGAGAAGGACAATAAACATATAGTGATGACAATAAACAAGGGGCGGAGTGGTCTAGCGGTAGAGAGCTCGACTGCTAACCCGTAAGTCTCGAGTTCGAATCCGGGTTCAAGTCAGTAGACCGTCCCTGAGTCCACCCAACTCAGATGGGTACCTAACTCACGTTAGGGAAAGTAAAGGCGGCTGGGCATAGTGTTTACCACACTATCTCTTCATATGCCGAGGTCACAGAAACAAGTGAACTCTACTTCACTTGCCCTATAGACCGTCAGGTTTGAAAGGGAAACTTTTTACTACTTTACTTTATGACAATAAACATATAGTGATGACAATAAACATATGGTGATGACAATGACAATAAACATATGGTGATGACAAAGACAATAAACAAATGGTAATGTGCTAAGAGACCTATCACATAACAATGCTGAAGCACTCACGTAATTGTCTTTCAAGTCTGGATGATTGAACTCCAATCCTGCAAAAATACGATTCGTTTATACTTATTTCTCTTGTTTGTTTCTACTTATTCCCCTTGTTTGGTTTTTACTTATTTCCCTTGTTTGGTGTGTATGGCCTACTTATTACCCTTGTTTGGTTTTACTTATTTCCCTTGTTTGGTTTTTACTTACTTCCATTGTTTGGTTTTTGCTTATTTCCCTTGTTTGGTTTTTGCTTCTTTCCCTTGTTTGGTGTGTAGGGCCTACTTATTTCCCTTTATTGGTTATGCTAATTTCCCTTGTTTGGTTTGTACTTATTTTCCTTGTTTGGTTTATACTTATTTCCCTTTTTACTTTCTCGTATATACGTAGTATAGAGAAAGTATTGTAATCGTGCAAAAAAAAAAAATCGAGATTTTTACAAATCTCGACGTTTTACACCTCACTGATACGGAAAAACATAATTTTGCAATCTTGTCCGTATGTCTGTGTGTGTGTGTGTCTGTCTGTCTGTCCGTGTGTAAACACGATAACTTGAGTACCGTTACAGCTAGGTTGATGAAATTTCATATATAAGTATTTTATCAAAATCGTAGATCCGTATCAACTTTTGAGCGATTTCCGATAACCGGAAGTGGTACTTTTCCTACTTTGAATTTTTCAAAAGCCTATAACTTGAGTACTATTTCAGATAGATAAATGAAATTTCACATGTAAGTAAAAGATCTAATTCTCTACCTTCTGTTAAATTTTGAGTAATTTCCGTTGACTGGAAGTAGTAATTTACGCTACTTCCGATTTCTCAAAAAACTAATGTAAATTTTTAAAGTACTAATAATATTGCGCACTATTATACGCGTTTTTATTCGGCGTTTGCTTGGTGCGCAATGTTTTTTTTTATGAGATTCTATTCTATTTTTAAAAGTTTAAGTATTTAAAATGGATTAAAAATCATAACTATATCCCCAGTTACCATCCCCTGTTGTTTTATATAAGAATATTCGAGAAAGTTTAGGGGAGATCACTACCGGTTTATTTGGTTTGTACTTATTTCCCTTGTTTGGTTTATACTTATTTCCCTTTTTTGGTTTGTACTTATTTCCCTTGTTTGGTTTTACTTATTTCCATTGTTTGGTTTTACTTATTTCCGTTGTTTGGTTTTACTTATTTCCATGAACTTAAACATGACCTTAACTTTAATGGTTTGACCTTAAACGTGAGATATTAAAACATGTGCATGCTCACGGTGTAAAGATTTGATACATTCGCATTTAACGCTCACGAAGTTTTTATTTGTATGGAAAACACAATCACGTTCTAAAAGATATTTTTTAAATATGGGTGCGACTAAGAAGGTGGTGAAGAGATACCTGAAGCACTGTATCAAAACGTGATTATCTGCAGCAAAAATAGTAGCATTAGCACGCAAAAACATTTATATCTTCGGGCTTCAATAAAATATAAGCTTGGGATAAAATTTCTTTTTATTTAGTTTTTTTTAAATTAATTTTTATATTGCCTGTATTTTTTTCCATTTAAAAACTTTTTTTTGATAAATCCATTTTTTAGAACTTGAATGGGTGTAGTACATTAGCGGCATTAGCGGTGTGTAACCCTACTCGTATTGTTTGGTAGATTATATTTATACGAGCCGTCCCGCGGCCTAGCATACGCCGCTATACGCCGCTATTTATTGACGGCTGAAGACTTCTCGAAAGACACAGTTGTCCGAATGGGGTGGGTGGGTACACGCTGTTGCGCATGCCTGGAGAGCGATGGATGGGGGAAGGGGGGGGGGGGGCTGGAGGAGGGTTAGTGAGTCGGCGTAGAGAATTATATTTGTATACGATGTATATAAATATGTATATAAATATGTGTACATATATGTATATATATATATATATATATATATATATATATATATATATATATATATATATATATATATATATATATATATATATATATATATATATATATATATGTGAGTGCATATATATATATATATATATATATATATATATATATATATATATATATATATATATATATATGTGTGTGTGTGTGTGTGTGTGTGTGTGTGTGTGTGTTTGTGTATGTGTTGATAGATACAGATATAGATATTGTTTTTAAAATCGACTGTGAGATGGAATGCGAGGGTAATGACACTTAAAGTGTGCCCGAGTAAAGTAAAACACCTGTTCCATGTCTAACTAGCACACGTGACACGTCCTAGTTTGTTCAAATAGACATGCCGACCAATCAATACAAACTATTCGATGGGAGTCTAGAGACTTTTGGAGCTGTGGGAGTCAATACATTTATAGTGGGAGTCGGATTTATAGTCGGATTTAGTACATTATAGTTTGAGTCAATAGCTTTATAGTGGGAGACGGTACATTATAGTGGGAGTCAGTAGCTTTATAGTGTGAGTAAGTAACTTTATACTGGGAGTCAGTAACTTTATACTGGGAGTCAGTAGCTTTATAGTCGGAGTTAGTAACTTTATCGTACGGACCAGAAAATCGATTAATAAGAAATGATAAATATTAAATTGAGAAATGATAAATTAAATATTTTTTTTTGTTAAAATATAAATATAAACAAAAAAGTATAACTCTACTGAGTATTCGTTACTCCTTATATCCACAAGTCAGCTCTCTTATAATGCAATGCTCTGATCTAGCATTAAACATGACCATTGTGGTAAAGGTTTTGTACATTGAACTAATTGCTCTCACTTTGAGTTGATTTATAGCAGACCAGTGATCGTGTTTAAAGCAAATATTCGCCGTGTACTGTCGACTTAATTAAGTACGTGAAGAACGTTATGTCATTTGTTTACAAAACATCGACGTACAATTACTGGATACTAAAAGTGTATTAATCTTATGGTACACATCATAGTTTTCTATTGAAGTAATACGCATCACAATCTTTGGTAGCGCTCAACACTGGAAATATTTTTAATCAATTTAAGCTATCTAATCTTTTACTGTTAAAAATCATAAGTATGGATTATTTTCATAGTTCAAAGAATATTTTTAAAAAATTGTTTTACTTGTAAAGTTAAATTAAATTTCTGTAATATTTATTTATCAATAATATATAGTATGATAGATGCAGTAGAGTTTTATGCCTATTAGGGGTTAAACGTGCAGGCGACCGATCTTATTAGGTACGGTGGGTTGATTAGTAATCAAGGCCCACCTAACAAACATTTAACATTTATTATCTAACCGCCATCAAGTATCAAATAACTAACCGTCATCAAGTATCACATAACTAACCGTCATCAAGTATCACATAACTAACTGTCATAAAGTATCACATAACTAACCGTCATAAAGTATCACATAACTAACCGTCATCAAGTATCACATAACTAACCGTCATCAAGTATCACATAACTAACCGTCATCAAGTATCACACAACTAACTGTCATAAAGTATCACATAACTAACTGTCATAAAGTATCACATAACTAACCGTCATCAAGTATCACACAACTAACTGTCATAAAGTATCACATAACTAACTGTCATAAAGTATCACATAACTAACCGTCATCAAGTATCACAATCGTGACATTTCTGCCGGTATAGCCCATCTCCCAACATTCCTTGACATTCATATGCGGTTTCTAGGATTATATATATATATATATATATATATATATATATATATATATATATATATATATATATATATATATATATATATATATATACATATATATATATATATATATACATATAAAATATTATATATATATACATATTTATTTATATAATTAAACAATATATATAATCCTAGATTTAGATTTACAGCCTATATATATATATATATAAATATATATATATATATATATATATATATATATATATATATATATATATAAATATATATATATATATATATATAGATAATCCTAGACAAATCATGTCTAATATATATGTATATATATATATATATATATATATATATATATATATATATATATATATATATATATATACACATTTATATACATTTATTTAGATAATTAAAAGAAATATATATTCCTAGATTTATATTTACAGCCTATTTATATATATATATATATATATATATATATATATATATATATATATATATATATATATATATATATAACTATACAGTAAACAGAGTTGCAGTCTTACATTGTCCTCAAACATTAGATACCACTCGTGCTTATAATCTGGATCGTTAAATCCCCTCTCTGTGTAAAATCCCCTTTTTTCTAGTTTGACAGTTTTTTGCTGCTCGGCTAAAGTCACCTGTAAAGGACAGACACATGCCGTGAGTGTTGACACAAAAACAACAGGATCGTATATTGTACTCACACATAGCCCGTCTCAGAGGCCTTGTTGGCCTACCCATAGTTTTATATGATCTAACCCCACATACATAAAACCTACGCTATAAAAAAAGTTAAATACCATACCCTGTCCGATCCCATTCTACCTGTCCCCACCCAACCTGCCGCACCCCACCGGCTCAAATGAGCCACCCCCACCCCCACCCCCACCCCTACCCTATCGTCCTCCAGGAGCCTCTTGGTGTTGGCTGTTGCTTCTCGTCGCGAACGTTTTCGTGTCCCTCGTCTCTCCAGCACATAGTGGTCAGGTATATACGTCATCTGAAACATAGTGGTCAGGTATATACGTCATCTGAAACATAGTGGTCAGGTATATACGTCATCTGAAACATATGGGTCAGGTATATACGTCATCTGAAACATAGTGGTCAGGTATATACGTCATCTGAAACATAGTGGTCAGGTATATACGTCATCTGAAACATAGTGGTCAGGTATATACGTCATCTGAAACATATGGGTCGGGTATATACGTCATCTGAAACATAGTGGTCAGGTATATACGTCATCTGAAACATAGTGGTCAGGTATAGACGTCATCTGAAACATAGTGGTCAGGTATAGACGTCATCTGAAACATAGTGGTCAGGTATATACGTCATCTGAAACATAGTGGTCAGGTATATACGTCATCTGAAACATAGGGGTCAGGTATATACGTCATCTGAAACATAGGGGTCAGGTATATACGTCATCTGAAACATAGTGGTCAGGTATATACGTCATCTGAAACATAGTGGTCAGGTATATACGTCATCTGAAACATAGGGGTCAGGTATATACGTCATCTGAAACATAGGGGTCAGGTATATACGTCATCTGAAACATAGGGGTCAGGTATATACGTCATCTGAAACATAGGGGTCAGGTATATACGTCATCTGAAACATAGGGGTCAGGTATATACGTCATCTGAAACATAGGGGTCAGGTATATACGTCATCTGAAACATAGGGGTCAGGTATATACGTCATCTGAAACATAGGGGTCAGGTATATACGTCATCTGAAACATAGGGGTCAGGTATATACGTCATCTGAAACATAGGGGTCAGGTATATACGTCATCTGAAACATAGGGGTCAGGTATATACGTCATCTGAAACATAGGGGTCAGGTATATACGTCATCTGAAACATAGGGGTCAGGTATATACGTCATCTGAAACATAGGGCTCAGGTATATACGTCATCTGAAACATAGGGGTCAGGTATATACGTCATCTGAAACATAGGGGTCAGGTATATACGTCATCTGAAACATAGGGGTCAGGTATATACGTCATCTGAAACATAGGGGTGATAGTATGTGGTTTTAGACTGTTATATAGTTGTACGTGAGATAGATATAACTTTTGCACGATCTCCACATATGTGACAGGTTGCTAAATGGGCGGTCGGAAAAATATCAGCAACGTGACGTAAAGTTTTGAATGTGTACGTGTATTAAAAATAAATACTGTTCAAAATAAGATTTATCCATGCTATCAAATTATGAATAGTAATGAGTTGCTATTATGTATGCAGAAATTAGATTTCTTAGTTAAAATTACTTTAATACTAGGCAAAGCCTTCCTATACCATAAAAAAGAAATTCTCACCATTGAAAATAATGTAGTGGTTTGAAAATCAAGGGCGTGGAGGGGGTGACCGACGAAAGCATAGAGGAACATAACATACAAATATACTTACACAAACACATATATCTACGCCTACTCTTACTCTTATGTCAATGCCAGCGCCTAAGCCTACTCATTCACGTACAAGTACACATACAACCACACCCACACTGACAACCAACAACCAACAACCTACAACCTAAAACCTACAACCTACAACCTAAAACCTACAACCTACAACCTACAACCTACAACCTAAAACCTACAACCTACAACCTACAACCTACAACCTACAACCTACAACCTAAAACCTACAACCTACAACCTACAACCTACAACCTACAACCTACAACCTACACCTACAACCTACAACCTACAACCTACAACCTACAACTACAACCTACAACCTACAACCTACACCTACAACCTACAACCTACAACCTACACCTACAACCTACAACCTACACCTACACCTACACCTACACCTACACCTACACCTACACCTAAACCTACACCTACACCTACACCTACACCTACACCTACACCTACACCTACACCTACACCTACACCTACACCTACACCTACACCTACACCTACACCTACACCTACACCTACACCTACACTTACACCTACACCTACACCTACACCCACACCCACACCCACACCTACACCCACGCCTACACCTACACCTACACGCACACCTTGTACATCCACACCCACACCCATACCCACATCCGTACCACAGTAGTTAGAAAAATGCGCAACGGAAAAATGAGCACATAAAAGACGCAAAGGAAAATTGTGCAAACAAATGCGCAAATAGAAATGTGCGCACACAGAACAAAACGAAAACAGTTACACTCACAGAAAAATAAATGATAGAAAAAAAACGAACGTAGGAAAATGGGCAAAAAAGTAATTCCTTCAAATTAAAAACACAGTAAAGCATTTGTGTGTGATCGTGCATGTGTGTTTGAGTTTATATATATATATATATATATATATATATATATATATATATATATATATATATATATATATATATATATATATATATATATATATAAGTTATTTTTGTATCGGTCAGTGTTTTACAACTATCACTTTTGTACAAATATCATTAGTGTACAAATATCATTTTTGTAGAAATATCATTATTGTACAAATATCATTAGAGTACAAATATCATTAGTGTACAAATATCACTGGTGTACAAATATCATTACTGTACATATATCCATGTTAATCTTGAACGAAGACTTACCGCTACCCAGGACAAAACTTACCGGTCTTATCAACGTGTAGCCATGCTGTCTTGCTACCTCCATGGCTACATCTAGCCCGCCTTTGATCCCAACAGCCCACTCGTTGAGGTAATGCAGGTCTTCACCATCGTCAGCAGTGGTCAGTTTATGCTGACTGTATATCCCCATTACCACCAGCAACGCTATCTCTAACTTGCCCATAATGTGACGGCCTGCTGTGTTGTATGTTTTCTCTGAGTGTTAGTTGTTCTATTGCCTGCATGTGTTGTTTGTGTTATGGCGTGTAAGTATTTTAAGACCATTTGATCCCGCCTGCTGATTGAGATATTAATACCATGTTTTAATCAAAGCCAGCTGCTGCCGGGGCCATCTTTCAATCAGTTCAGGTTTGCTTCAGTCGTAATACAGGCTGTCTCTCAGTTCTAACTAAAGTAGCGCCTCGTCTATATCTGGGTGGGCTTACATCATGATTAGTTATTGTGTAATCGCGTGTAATTGTGTGTAATTGGTTTGGTCTTGTTGGACTTCAGCACGTACATTTGCGACATCTGGTTGTCTTGGCAACGTCAATAGTGGAGTTATTGTTTACGTTCTACACGCTCATTGTCTAAACTCTGAACTCTGTACCTGCTCACACAGACCAGAAATACAGACCAGACATACAGACCAGACATACAGACCAGACATACAGACCAGACATACAGACCAGACATACAGACCAGACATACAGACCTCTAACAGACCAGACATACAGACCAGACATACAGACCAGACATACAGACCAGACATACAGACCAGACATACAGACCAGACATACAGACCAGGAATACAGACCAGACATACAGACCAGACATACAGACCAGACATACAGACCAGACATACAGACCAGACATACAGACCAGACATACAGACCAGACATACAGACCAGACATACAGACCAGACATACAGACCAGACATACAGACATACAGACCAGACATACAGACCAGACATACAGACCAGACATACAGACCAGACATACAGACCAGACATACAGACCAGACATACAGACCAGACATACAGACCAGACATACAGACCAGACATACAGACATACAGACCAGACATACAGACCAGACATACAGACCAGACATACAGACCAGACATACAGACCAGACCTCTAACAGACCAGACATACAGACCAGACATACAGACCAGACATACAGACCAGACATACAGACCAGACATACAGACCAGACATTCAGACCAGACATACAGATCAGACATACAGACCAGACATACAGACCAGACATACAGACCAGACATACAGACCAGACATATAGATCAGACCTCTAACACAGGTTCATCCAATCAAGACCCAAAACAAATCAATCCCGCTCATGTACGCAATGTGTACAGAATGAGGCCTTATAAAGTGAGTGCGACAATATGAAATATTTGGACCAGTATATGTATGAGACCAGTTCTGCTAGTAAGACGCAACAGGCGACACCACATAAAGTAGCAAATGGTACCACATATAATGAACACATATAATAACGGATGAAACCATATGTAAACAGTCAGAACATTTTATTTTGCAACACCAAACCAACGAATGCCAGAAAAATATCTGGTTTAAAAATAAATTAAAAACAGTCACCAAGTTTCTAAGTAAGAATCCGATCACAGCATTTAGTAAAATACAGTCAACAAATTAATCAAACAAATCATTCAGTTTTGTTGTCAGGTTTTTTAAAACATGAGTTTTTAACATTGCCTAGAAATGCAGAGTTGAGCGAAAATAAATAAAATATTTTCTTACGAAAAGAATGTCCCCAAGATCTTTGAAATAATCGTCGATTTGAATATAAGTAATTTCTCTATAGTTTTATTTTGCTTAAAAAATATCTTAAGTAGTTTCTCTATAATAGGATCCAGAAAATAAAATATAAGTATCTTTCTTTTAGTTGTATGGCACTTTAAAATTTAATATAAGTTCCTTCCCCTTAGTATGGAACACAATAAATATAACGTAAATTACCGCCCCTTATTTGCTCGACAACTTAACTTGCTCACCACTTAGTTGTATAAGATTGTAAAACTAATATACGTCACCTCACTTAAGTCGAATTTTACCGAAAATGTTTATACAGAAATTAATTTCTTTTATTTTAAGAACTATATATTACATAATTACCCCCTTTTGGTTAAATGATAGTTTCAAAATATATAATTTGCCTCCCCTAGGATTATAATAAACAATACATCAGTTGCTTCCCTTAGTTGTGTTATATTGAGTTAATAAGACTACAATGAGCTCTTGATTTCAACAACAACAACAAATGATGTCCAAGACAAAAGAATTATTCTTCTCTTGTGCCACAAAGATGACAAAACAGTTCACACTTTTTAAATAACTCTTGACCTGATTTTTATTCATTTTTCAATCACCTCTACTGAGTATACTTTTTGTTGTTGACAAATTGCCGAAACGAAACTATAAACTTAAAATTTCTGTCAGCAGCTGATTCAGAGGGACCTGATGAGCCGCTTTAACTTGAAGCTGAGGAGACGAAGACAAAATGTTAGTACCGGAATATGGAGAAGTCAAGTGAATAGATCAAATTAGTGTAGTAGCGAGGTAAATACGAATGCATACATATATACTAGCACTTGGTGTAATTATTAAGTATACATTAAATTTAATGTACAGAAACATTGAATAAGAAGTCCAATGTATGAATTCAATATACTTTCAAGTTATTTAAAAAACTAGAAAAAAAGCACGTACCGCAAATTAAATATATATATATATATATATATATATATATATATATATATATATATATATATATATATATATATATATATATATAAACCGCAACTTATATTTATATATATATATATATATATATATATATATATATATATATATATATATATATATATATTGTGTATTATTTTAAAGGAAAACTTAAGAGAGTAGGCATTTTAAAAATAAATTTTTAATTGTAGGGGAATCGGGTAAATGTATCTAATTAAGTCCATAGTGGCAGATGGTTCTGTTAAAATAGTCTCAGAATCTCTGATATTTCTAAACATGCATTACTGTATACTAGTAGTTCATTAACCAATAAAATAAAATAAAAACTATGCCAACTACAGGTGGACAAGATGTACTTGGACTAAGTCCTGGACTTCTTATGTTGGTCAAAGTTAAGTCACAAAAAGTTCTTTTTTAGTGGGGGTGGGGGGGGGGGGGTTGTGGTTTTTTTTCTTTTTGGAAGTGTTAATTTTGTAAGTAGTGGGATTAACTATGATTAAATCAACAAGTTTGATAATATTTTTTTTATAATCGCCAACTAAACAAGTTAAGCGTATTTATAAATAATAATTTTGTATACGTTGATAAAAATTAATAAAATGGTTAAAAATATAAAGCAGTAAGCCTTTGGTCTATATATTTTGGGAGAGCAACTTTACCAGTAGATGTACAAAGCAAGTTAAAAATCAAAGCAATAGAGAATAGCTTATACGATGAAGCATTGTTGATTAAATGGGCTAAGCCAAGCGATGGATACATGTTTAATATGAAGCAATATTAGCTGAATGAGGTAAGACAGTAGGTAGGTACAATGGTAGGAATTTTACAATAGCTAAAAGCAGTATGAGCGCGCTGTTATCACTAGATATAACTTACCACCTAACAACTATAATTTCCGGAATTAACGGAGGGGGGGGGGGGGAGATAATCCACGTAACCCAGAAAGTCATAAATCCTAAGTTATTTAACAAACCACCATTGACCACCATATACCAAACTGACCTTATAAACCACCATGTACCCACCTTATAAACCACCATGTACCCACCTTATAAACCACCATGTACCCACCTGACCTTATAAACCACCATGTACCCACCTTATAAACCACCATATACCCACCTGACCTTATAAACCACCATGTACACACCTGACCTTATAAACCACCATGTACCCACTTGACCTTATAAACCACCATGTACCCACTTGACCTTATAAACCACCTTGTACACACCTGACCTTATCAACCACCATGTACCCACCTTATAAACCACCATGTACCCACCTTATAAACCACCATGTACACACCTGACCTTATAAACCACCATATACCCACCTGACCTTATAAACCACCATGTACACACCTGACCTTATAAACCACCATGTACCCACTTGACCTTATAAACCACCATGTACCCACTTGACCTTATAAACCACCTTGTACACACCTGACCTTATAAACCACCATGTACACACCTGGCCTTATAAACCGCCTTGAACCCACCTGACCTTATAAACCACCATGTACACACCTGACCTTATAAACCGCCTTGAACCCACCTGACCTTATAAATCACCATGTACACACTTGACCTTATAAACCACCTTGTACACACCTGACCTTATCAACCACCATATACCCACTTGACCTTATAAACCACCATGTAACCACCTTATAAACCACCATGTACCCACCTGATCTTATCAACCACCATGTACCCACCTTATAAACCACCATGTACCCACCTGACCTTATCAACCACCTTGTACACACCTGACCTTATAAACCACCATGTACACACCTGACCTTATAAACCGCCTTGAACCCACCTGACCTTATAAACCACCATGTACACACCTGACCTTATAAACCACCTTGAACCCACCTGACCTTATCAACCACCATGTACACACCTGACCTTATAAACCACCTTGAACCCACCTGACCTTATAAACCGCCTTGAACCCACCTGACCTTATAAACCGCCTTGAACCCACCTGACCTTATAAACCACCATGTACACACCTGACCTTATAAACCACCTTGAACCCACCTGACCTTATAAACCACCATGTACACACCTGACCTTATAAACCACCATTTCTGACCTTATAAGAAACTCAAATCTTACCTGGTGGATGATACTGTGAGAAACACAACAATGGGTTATTTACTTGTCTAAGATCTACTCACTAGCTCTCAACAACAACTGATCTACAAGCCGTCAAGTTACCTGTCCCTCTAGATCACTAACCAACTGCAACATCTCCGACTGGACGTTGGGGTTTTTCACATTGTTGTTGTTGTGAAGCAGGGACTTCAGCTCGGCTATTTTTAGCTTGAGTTGACTTGGGTTGGGAACGTTCTGGAATATACAGGAGGAATTAGTTATCTAAATATTATCTTGTATCTGTCCGTCGATATGTCTGATCTCTGTCTGTATTTTATCTGCCTGTCAATTATATGATTTTAACAATTTTCTGTATATTTTTCTGCCGTATTTATGCATATCTATATAGATTCAAGGTCTCTGTCTGTCGTTTTTGTGTCTGTATGATGTCCTATAACGATCTAGAAAAAACAACTGAGTTAAATGTTTGGCTCGCCAGTCATGACATACATACTCTCGCTTAATGTGTATGTGTGTGATAGACAGAGAAAGAGTGAGAGAAAGAGAGAAAGGGAGAGAGAGAATGGTGTTAATTCTAATGTATCGGGTTTCTTTAAAACATAAAATAGATTACGTTATTTACAAGAATTTCAAACTTTGGATTATAATTAAATCACCCATTCCCTTAACACGTGAAGCGTATCATAATTTAGCTATGACGACCATGTTAATTATTAGCAACATTAGGCGGACGCACCAGGAAATTTATTTTAAATTACACCGTGTTTGTCACATTAAAAGTGGTTTTCTACCATAACGAAAACATGTTGTCAATATGTCCTCCCTGTCGGTTTGACTCTTACAAACAAGTAGCCAGAAAAATGTTCGCTCACTGAGGAAAAACTTTTTTTTTTTGCTCGGCGATATAATAACAATTAAAGTAACTGTCCGACCAAGAAAAATATATAATTAACTGAATGTCAGCAAACAAAATAAATAAGCTTTATAACCATATTTCATAAACAAACAGAAAAAACAAATATAATTTAATAAAGCAATTATCTGAAATGTCAACATAGACGCACATAAATGAAATATTAAATTACATTAAATATTTGCTTCTAACCAGTATCGGTAACAGAAGAGTTTCTTCCAGGCATCTCTTCGGGGGGGCGAAGCCCCCCCCCCCCCCGAAAATTTTTTACCGCCCCCCCGAACGAAATGAAATTTATATAATTTATATAGAAAATATATACTTTTAACAGTGTCCGCCCCCCCCCGAAGAAAGTCTACCGCCCCCTCGAAAATTTCAAGTGCCCCCCCCCCCCCGGAGAAAAAAGTCTGGAAGAAACACTGGGTAACAGAATTATTATAAAATATATACATCAAAATAAAAGTACCGTAAATTCCAAAAATAGTAGTATAGTAATAATTTACTCATAACAAACCATAAGTATATTTTACTTGAATTATATGTGTATATTTGTATATATATATATATATATATATATATATATATATATATATATATATATATATATATATCGTAAGCGTATCCATCAAGCATATACTAGAAAGAAAATAGAAAAATGAATTGTTCTGTTTCACCTGTTCCCCAGGTACCAACGCTTCAGTTGGTTGTTGATTCTCAACAGCTGGTGCCTATAAAATTAACTCAACTTTAAACTCGAAACTTGAGCTAAATACTGTTTTTTTTTTACTGGTGGGGCTATTTATAGTCATATCAACACGTAATATTTATTTCGGTTAACTCTAGAGGAAATACGCCAGGTGTTTATATAATTTCACATCCTGTCATACTGTCAAGGAATATAAGCACCTTGCGTATTAAATGTCGTCTTGATGACATGTACTGACCACCTAACGACATATAATGACCACCTAATGACATTGACCACTGGATGTCGTTTACTGTCCATCTAATGATATATACTGACCACCTAATTACATATACTGACACTAACATCACGAAGACAAACAAGCCCCACTGACCACTGGATGACATGTACTGACCACCTGATGTCATGCACTGACCACTGGATGTCATATACTGACCACTTGATGTCATCTACTGACCACTTGATGTTATGTACTGACCATTGAATGGCATGTACTGACCAATGGATTACATGTACTGACCACCTAATGACATTACTAACATCACGAAGACAAAAAAGCCCCACTAACCACTGGATGACATGTACTGACCACTTGATGTCATGTACTGACCACCTAATGACATGTACTAACATCACGAAGACAAAAAAGTCCCACTGACCACTGGATGACATGTACTGACCACTTGATGTCATGTACTGACCACCTAATGACATGTACTGGCACTAACATCACGAAGACAAAAAACCCACTAACCACTTGTGTCTCTGTCTTGCCGCATCCCTTGATGTTAGTCTGGTGCTTGGGCTTGTCCTTGGTGCCGTACAGGACTAGTTTGGCGCTGTTCAGTCTTCCACGGGCGGTGCCATTCACATTCTAGATCAGGGAAGACAAGCAACTTTTTAAACGATGCCAGAGTTGTCTCCGTTTGCTGAATAGTGCTAACGGTTATTAGGTCAAAGAGCAAACAGGTTATTCGGTCAAAAAGAAAACATGTCACTGGGTTGAAAAAAATAGGTCATTGGGTGAAACAGCATCAGGTCACTCAGAAAATAGGTCATTAGGTCCAATAACAAACAGGTCATTAGGTCCAATGTGCGGACGGAGTGGTCTAACGGTAGAGAGCTGGACGGTAAGTCTCGAGTTCGAATCCGGGCTCATGTCCGTAGATCGTCCCTGAGTCCACCCAACTGTGTGTAAAGGCGGCTCTTGATCGACAGGTTTGAAAAGGGAACTTTACTTTGTATTAGGTCCAATAACAAAAAGGTCATCAGCTCTTGCAACAGACAGGTCATGAGGTCATAAGGTCACCAGCTGTAACTTACCCTGTCCGCAACACGGAACCTCCATTTACCCTGTGGCCTCTCGCCCCAAGTGTGAACGCTCATGAGCGGCCATTGCTTGAAGCCTTTTTTGGATGTGTCGTAGGACCTCTCATAAAACAGGGTGGTCTTGGTGCCTGTAAGGATTGGTCTAAGTTAGACAGTCGTAGACTGTGGTGTGGGGGTGGGGCTGGTTGGTCTAAGTTAGACAGTCGTTGACTGTGGTGTGGGGGTGGGGCTGGTTGGTCTAAGTTAGACAGTCATAGACTGTACACTCAGGTCTTCACGGTGGGTGGTGTGGGGTGGTGCTGGTTGGTCAAGCGAGGGGTGGAGGAAGGAATTTCTTATGGAGGGGGGGGGGGGGGCTCATTTTGTAAATTTTTCACACACACACATATATCTATACACACACACACACACATATATATATATATATATATATATATATATATATATATATATATATATATATATATATATAAATATATATATATATATATATATATATATATATATATATATATATATATATATATATATATATATATATATATATACATGTCTCCGCCACTGGAAGGGTAAAGGTGTACCCACCCATAGGCGACTCTAGGTCGGCGTAGATCCTGCCCCTGTTCTCGTGGTCCACGTCGAAGACGACCTGGATGTGTTCCAGCCAGTTGACCTCGTTGTCCTGACCTTGACATCCGTCTGTTGAAAACTCCACCTCCACGAACTGGCCGGGGGTGATCTCCCTGGGTGAGATACGCATCATTTGACCTCAAATCTCAAAATCTCAATACATCTTTTCATAACTATTTATCTAAAAATAATTACCACATTTTTAGACGAAATATTAAGCTTAATTAACTAATATGCTAAACTTTTAAAGATAATCTAAAAGATCTGTAACTGATTAACTAAGATGTTTAAGTTTTTACATTTTAATTACAAATTTTAACTTCTACAGTTTAAGTTACACAAACAGTTTAACCTACGTTCTGGCTAAAATGTTTAAGTACTAAAGATAGCAGCGTAGCGCGTGTGGTGTTGTTACTGTACCCTATTCTAGAAAGTGTAACAATATGACCCCCTACAGTTGAAAGTCTAACCATATGACCCCTGCTGTCAGAAGTCTATGACCCCTGTCAGAAGTCTAACACTATGACCCCTGTCAAAAGTCTAACACCATGACCCCTACTGTCAGAAGTCTAAGACTATGACCCCTGTCAGAAGTCTAACACTATGACCCCTGTCAGAAGTCTAAGACTAAGACCCCTGTCCGAAGTCGAACACTATGACCCCTGTCAGCTAACACTATGACCCCAGTCAGCTAACACTATGACCCCTGTCAGCTAACACTATGACCCCTGTCAGCTAACACTATGACCCCTGTCAGCTAACACTATGACCCCAGTCAGCTAACACTATGACCCCTGTCAGCTAACACTATGACCCCAGTCAGCTAACACTATGACCCCTGTCAGCTAACACTATGACCCCTGTCAGCTAACACTATGACCCCAGTCAGCTAACACTATGACCCCTGTCAGCTAACACTATGACCCCTGTCAAAAGTCTAACACTATGACCCCAGTCAGCTAACACTATGACCCCTGTCAGCTAACACTATGACCCCAGTCAGCTAACACTATGACCCCTGTCAGCTAACACTATGACCCCTGTCAGCTAACACTATGACCCCAGTCAGCTAACACTATGACCCCTGTCAGCTAACACTATGACCCCTGTCAAAAGTCTAACACTATGACCCCTACTGTGGGAAGTTGCTGGTACTGGTTGGCTCCACAGTGCAGATGTGCTGCTCCCCCACATTCTCCCACTTCTCTGCTGCCTCTACCAGACCCAGGGCGTTGATCAGACCAAAGCCAAAACGTTCGTTGAAGCAGTAGCCAGCTCCGTTCTGTTGCCTAGGTCAAAACATTCAATGTTTTATTGGCCAGATAAAAATGTTAGCGTTTTGCCTGATCAAATAATAATTTTTGGGTCGAATGAATCGTTCCTAATATATATATATATATATATATATATATATATATATATATATATATATATATATATATATATATATATATATATATATATATGAAAACATTTTCTTTTGTCAAATAATTCATGCTTATCTCTTAAAATAATAATCAAATACTGTTGGTTGTTATTTAGATAATAAGTGGAGCGATAAAGTACAAGCTGTTTAGGTTGAAGGTTGATGATGCTTGTCTAATACAATATGTAAAGCAGCAATTAAATGTAGGCCACAAAAAACTTTCGAAACCATGACAACCAAAAGTAGGTCACCTACCAGCCAACTCTTGAAACCATGACAACCAAAAGTAGGTCACCTACCAGCCAACTCTTGAAACTATGACAACCAAAAGTAGGTCACCTACCAGCCAACTCTTGAAACCATGACAACAAAAAGTAGGTCACCTACCAGCCAACTCTTGAAACCATGACAACCAAAAGTAGGTCACCTACCAGCCATCTCTTGAAACCATGACAACCAAAAGTAGGTCACCTACCAGCCAACTCTTGAAAACATGACAACCAAAAGTAGGTCACCTACCAGCCAACTTTTGAAACCATGACAACCAAAAGTAAGTCACCTACCAGCCATCTCTTGAAACCATGACAACCAAAAGTAGGTCACCTACCAGCCAACTCTTGAAACCATGACAACCAAAAGTAGGTCACCTACCAGCCAGTCTCCGATGCCAGAGGTTCCATCCTGGAGGTGTGCATGACCAGGTGTTGGGCGTCACGCCAGGTGATGTTGTTGCTGGGGGAAACAGGTGGAGGTGGGGGTAAACAAATGTCTAATTAAAGGGGGGGGGAAGTTGTTGCATCGCCAGGTGATATTGTTGCTGGGGGAAACAGGTGAAATTGTGGCATTCTAACAGTCGAGTTGGGGGTAAACAAATGTCTAATTTGAGGGGGTGGGGGGAGGTTGTAGCTGAAGGAAACAATCAAGTTGGAGGTAAAAAAAAATCTATAATTAATAGGGAGGGGGAGTCACATAATGTTTTTACTCGGCCTTTAGCTCAGGAATATTTACTTTAGAGGTGACTTTACAATCTAAGCAGTACACATCAAATGTAACCCGTATATACTTAACAGCCCATGTGACTTGTCACTTATTTTACAACCCACGTGACCAGTGAGTGACTTACTTGGCCTGTAGCAGGAGAGCCAGGACACCAGCGGCCATGGGGGCGGCAGCGGAAGTTCCAGTGTGACCGTCGGTACACTTGCCGTGCAGGTCAGAGCTCACCTGGAAATAGGCCATCTATTTACACGACTTTTGTCTAAATAGCCCATCTACTTACACGACTTTTGTTTGGATTTAGAAACACGATTAACTTACAAACATGAGGCATTTTACATCACATTTTAAATCGTGACTATTGACATTACATAAATTAACATTATATAAAAAAATAGCTACAGTTAATGCGAGAACACATTTGTGCACCTAGTTTACAGTTTGGTAAAGAATGTCCAAGACGAATAAAAAAAACTGACCACTTTCTTCTCGGTGGCTGAGCCACTGCTGTAGGCTGCTGTGAGGGTTGAGGAGCATTTCTCCCCGTACCAGGGGCTCTTTCCAAACTGTAGGAGAGAGAGGAGGGTGTGAAAATAATTGTGGAGATAGCATGGTGACATTGTCATGGGGATAGTGTAGAAAATAGTCGTGGAGATAGTATGGCTAACTAGACGTGTGGCTACATAAACCAGAGCTAGTATCGGCCTTGACCTTACCTGTGAGGCGCTGCTGACGCTGATGGTGTAGATGCTGGAGGTGTAGCCGTCAGCGTTGCAGTTGTCGTTGATCCTCCCGCCGTTACCGGATGCCCAGGCGTATAGACTGCCCTTCCCCTTGCGGCCCTGCACTCACAGAGTAGACAAACATGCACAGGGTGAGGTGTGGGATTATCGTTTACATGGTGGAGCATTTATCTTGATTGGTTTATGAGTTAATTAGTTGATTAGTAAATTGTGCATTGTTGGTCAGAAAAGATATGTGTTCTTAGCTCTGTTAAAGCTGGTCAAATTGGAACAGTTGTACAAGTGTCTGATATATGACTTATATCACTATTATACTAGATGTAGGCCTGGATACGACTAGTTTTTTTCACGTTTGTATTGAGGTTTTGAACTGAGTGTAGTTCGGGTTTTTCAATTGTGTATATCAGTATTCCCATATTAAAGGGGTGGGTTCTGACAATAATCCTTGATTACCGCATCTAGTACTGTGGACTGGCTAGAAGGTGTTTACCTGTTTGATGCCTGTGGCTAGAATGTGTTTACCTATTTAATGCCTGTGGCTAGAATGTGTTTACCTGTTTGATGCCTGTGGCTACAATGTGTTTACCTATTTGATGCCAACCTGTAGCTAGAATGTGTTTAACTGTTTAATGCCTGTAGCTAGAATGTGTTTACCTGTTTAATACCTGTGGCTATAATGTGTTTACCTGCTTGATGCCAATCTCCAGACCTTTCCTGGCCAGGATGCCTGGACCTTCCACCGTCTTGCCGTCGTCGTTAGGTCCCCAGCTGGCGGAGTACACGTCGATGTACTCGCTGTTAAAAGACAGGGCATCACCCTCCAGGCGGTCAGTGACCCGACCGTCAAGCATGCGGACACCTGGGGTAGAAACCAGAGGTCACGGGAGTGTGTCAAGTGGGGGTGGGGGCAATCAAAGGTCACGTGATTATGTGTGTATGGGGAGGGGTAGAAACCAGTATTCTCAAGGGGCATGGGGACATTTGGGGTAGACATCATCTACCAGCAGTCACGTATGTGGGGGGGGGGGTGGTATCTTCCCCGTTAATATAGCAAAATAAACAACTAACGAAATTGAGCTCAACCGTTGGTTGATTAGCCCACCTCACCTACTCCTCCGACTCCCCTCTCTCACCTACATTATCTACCCCTCCTTATACTCCCCTCTATACTCTAGCTATACTCCCTCGGCTCCATATTAACTCTCGTACCTCCCTCCCATTGAAACTAAACCCTCTCCCTCCCATCAAGCGACCCTCCCTCCTCCCTACTCCCATACATCCTCTCTTACCTCCGATCTTGCTGTCGAAAGCTATACCAACACCACAGTTGTTGTTGTTGGCAACCATGGCGATCTCTCCAGCACACCTGGTGCCGTGTCTGGCAGAGAAACAAAGGGGGGGGGGTGAGGACATTAGTATCAGGGGGGTGACATGTCTTAGGGGTGGTGAGGACAGTCTTAGGGGGGGGTTAGGACATCAGTCTTAGGGTTGGACATTAGTCTTAAGGGGGTGAGGACATGTATCTTGGGAGGGGGGAGGACATCAGTATTAGGGTTGGACATTAGTCTTAAGGGGGTGAGGACATCTATCTTGGGGGGGGGGGAGGACATCAGTCTTAAGACTAGAGTCTAATGATATGAATCTGCCAAGATGTTCTTAACTTCCTAGGAGGCTGGACTTCTAAAAACTAGCCACATGGCGCTCTAGACAAGTCTAGGTCTAAGAATCAGTTGGATGTACAGCACTACCTCAAAGTTGGCGCCTAACCTAGACGGTAGTACAAATGTTATCCCATCCAAGATGGCGTCACATGCCCGGATGTTGAGAACTTACTTGTTTTCGTTGGTTGGGTCGTATCTGGGTGTGGGGTCATCGTCATTGTCGTTAAAATCATGTGAGGCCTTGGGGTCCTGTAGAGGTCAAGGTCACAGATTATTTCCAAAATTTATGAATGACAAATTATCAAAGAAATATAATCAAATTAACATGTACTTAAGCATTTTACTGTCTTGTTCAAAAGTGATGTAAATTAGCAGATATATTAGGTGTGAGAGATCACTTGAGTGCACGTCCAATACTTACAAAGTTGTCCTTTAAATCTGGGTGTCCTGCCTCCACTCCTGAAAACATCAAAATGTCATTTAGTTTCTGTGGTACAGTTAGGACTTTTAGTCTTTGGGGTATGATAGGTCTTTTTGTCTATGTGGTACAGTTAGGTCAATTAGTCATTGTTGTTGGTACAATAAGTTCTTTATGTTTTTTTTTTTGCGTAATTAGGCCTCTAGTATTGGTCTAATTTATTTAGTTCAGTTTATCTCAATATCAAGTATTTGTCAGTCTATGTAATCATTTTGACTTATCTCAACATTAACAGGCTTAAAATCACATTTACATGAAAGGTAACATACACGCCTGCATCTTCTTAAGCAAGTTATGGTATAGTATAGCTAGGCCCTGTACTGACCACACAATTTGAGATGTGGACCAAATTACCAAATTACCAACCTACCATCGTCCAGTACAGTGGACCAACCTCCCAACCTCCCAACCCACCAACCTACCAACATACCAACCTACCAACCTCCAAACCCACCAACCTCCCAACCCCCCCAACCCACCACCCTCCCAACCCCCCCAACCCACCAACCCACCAACCTCCCAACCCCCAACCCACCAACCTCCCAACCTCCCAACCTACCATCGTCCAGTATACAGACTGTGATGCCCTTGCCCGTGTATCCTCTCTTCCAGGCGTCACGGACTCTCAGATTGTCGCTGGCACCGTCACGTCTGCCATACTCCTGCAACATTTGGCACTTTTAGAAGGGTGGGGGGTGTACAGGGTGGGGGGGGGGGGGGGTGTACATGGTGTGGGTGGGGGGATTAAAGTTTGCACACTTTTAACAGGGGTGGGTAGTGTACAGGGTGGGGGTGGGGGGATTAAAGTTTGCACACTTTTAACAGGGGTGGGTAGTGTACAGGGTGGGGGTGGGGGGATTAAAGTTTGCACACTTTTAACAGGGGTGGGAAGTGTACAGGGTGGGGGTGGGGGGATTAAAGTTTGCACACTTTTAACAGGGGTGGGTAGTGTACAGGGTGGGGGTGGGGGGATTAAAGTTTGCACACTTTTAACAGGGGTGGGTAGTGTACAGGGTGGGGGTGGGGGGATTAAAGTTTGCACACTTTTAACAGGGGTGGGTAGTGTACAGGGTGGGGGTGGGGGGATTAAAGTTTGCACACTTTTAACAGGGGTGGGTAGTGTACAGGTTGGGGGTGGGGGGATTAAAGTTTGCACACTTTTAACAGGGGTGGGTAGTGTACAGGGTGGGGGTGGGGGGATTAAAGTTTGCACACTTTTAACAGGGGTGGGTAGTGTACAGGGTGGGGGTGGGGGGATTAAAGTTTGCACACTTTTAACAGGGGTGGGTAGTGTACAGGGTGGGGGTGGGGGGATTAAAGTTTGCACACTTTTAACAGGGGTGGGTAGTGTACAGGGTGGGGGTGGGGGGATTAAAGTTTGCACACTTTTAACAGGGGTGGGTAGTGTACAGGGTGGGGGTGGGGGGATTAAAGTTTGCACACTTTTAACAGGGGTGGGTAGTGTACAGGGTGGGGGTGGGGGGATTAAAGTTTGCACACTTTTAACAGGGGTGGGTAGTGTACAGGGTGGGGGTGGGGGGATTAAAGTTTTCACACTTTTAACAGGGGTGGGGGATACAGGGTGGGATGGGGAATTAAAATTTTGACACTTTTAGAACGGGTGGGTGGTATACAGAAAATTAGAACTTTAACATTTATAAGTGTGGGAGTGGGGGAGATTTAAACTTTGACACATTATTGATTAATATTGGACGGTGGGTGGGGGTGATGTAGAGAGAGGGTGGTGGGCTGTGTTATGTGGCGGGGTGAACCTTAAAACCTCATTCCATCCAACACAAGGGCACTAAAACCCAAACTTCCTATCGTGAAAAGCTAGAAATCCACAGTTACAGCCCTTTTGTCTGATATGGTAAGGCGATGGTTGTTCTGTGTGTGAGTATATATATATATATATATATATATATATATATATATATATATATATATATATATATATATATATATATATACATATATATATATATATATATATATATATATATATATATGTATAAAACCGCCCCTTCAAGAGTCCATCCTGTTTGATGTCATTGATGTCAATAACTGACTGTGTAGATAGGATGAGAAGGTGACGAGCACACTCTTAGTGTACTCATTAAAGGTCCAACATAAACTGGGAACTGCTTATCGTTGTCTACATGACTATGTAAAAACAGCTCCTGCCTTAACAGGTCTCATCATGTTTCTCAGGCTGTTGTTCTATACAGCCAACACATCACTGCTGTACCTGCGGTGATGTGGAGACTCTAACAGCTTCTCAAAAAGTTGTTTCGGCTGCTCCGGGGATTCGTGGGTGCAAAGTACCCCCCCCCCCTCCCAACCACACACACACACACACACACCGTTTTTACAGTAGAAGATTAACCCCAACATACTTTTTAAAAATACGCTTGTAATGTGTAGAATAAATCTTTACGTAATGTAGGAGAAATGCTTACACTGACAGTTCATTTATTTTGTGTAAGGGAAAATTCTTACATTGAGTAAACGAAAATTAATATCCTTTGTATGGAACAATTTTATACCGTGTCAGATACTTTTGTTATATCTGGTAAAGAACAATGCTACTACAGTGTAAGAGATGATTCTGTGTAAGGTACACATCTTATACTGTGTAAGAGACAGTTCTTTTACTGTGTAAGGAATATTTCTTATAATGTGAAAGGGACAGTATTTATACACTGTAAGGGACTTTTTATACAGAGTAAAACACAGTTCACCAACACATGTAAGCAAATAGAGAAAAAGATTTAAAATAAATTCTGGAATAAAAAACACTACATCACAATTGTTTACAAAACACGTTAAAATGTTTGATAAACAAGATTTGGTTTCAAACTATTTATTGATCTGATCTTTCCATGAGTCCATTTTTATTAAGTGTGTACCGTTGTACACATACACAAATTTTGACAAGTATAGAATTATTGTGTACAATTGTTTCTTAATATGTGTGGTGTGTTGTGATGTATACTGAGTCTAGATATGTGTTGTGTACATTAGCCTAGATGTGTGTTGTGTACATTAGCCTAGATGTGTGTTGTGTACATTAGCCTAGATGTGTGTTGTGTACATAAGCCTAGATGTGTTGTGTACATTAGCCTATATGTGTGTTGTGTTACATATGCCTATATGTGTGTTGTGTACATTAGCCTAGATGTGTGTTGTGTACATTAGCCTAGATGTGTGTTGTGTACATTAGCCTAGATGTGTGTTGTGTACATAAGCCTAGATGTGTGTTGTGTTACATATGCCTATATGTGTGTGGTGTACATTAGCCTAGATGTGTGTTGTGTACATTAGCCTAGAAGTGTGTTGTGTACATTAGCCTAGATGTGTTGTGTACATTAGCCTATATGTGTGTTGTGCTACATAAGCCTAGTTGTGTGTTGTGTACATTAGCCTAGAAGTGTGTTGTGTACATTAGCCTAGATGTGTTGTGTACATTAGCCTATATGTGTGTTGTGTTACATATACCATATGTGTTTTGTGTACATAAACCTAGATGTGTGTTGTATACATAAGCCTAGATGTGTGTTGTGTACATAAGCCTAGATGTGTGTTGAGTACATAAGCCTAGATGTGTGATGTGTACATTAGCCTAGATGTGTGTTGTGTACATTAGCCTAGATGTGTGTTGTGTTACATAAGCCTATATGTGTGTTGTGTACATAAGCCTAGATGTGTGTTATTGACCTGTGTTGAAGTTGGAAAATATCGCGTCAGCTTGAATTCACTAGACTCTAGCCGATGGCGATGATAAATGGGATTAGATATTCAGACTTTTTTCTGTGAGTCCACCTAGAAACAGATTAAACTTTCTAAGTGTCGAGTTTATCATAAGCTTTTTAAAAGAATACTGTTGGCCACATAAACCCACAACCCCCTCCTACCCCAAACCCTAAATGCCGAAGTTGATAAGGGACACAATTACACACATTGTCACACAAAAGTTGATAGTTGTTAAACAAAATAAAGGAAAATACTTAAAGGGAAGTAATAATTTTTTAAAATTATATTTGACGAGTTAAATCCCTTGAATAATTAAAACAGCAAGACACTTAAAACAATTTGATCAAGCTGATGTAATTCAAATAAACAGAGTTCAGGTCAACAAACTTTGACCAAACTGTACTGACCTAACATGTACAATAAATAAATTACGATTCATTACAGCCAGAAATCTAGGACAGTTAAAAATAGAGTTAAAAAGTCAGCTCAAGTCTACCAACGTAGTTGTCTCAGAAGTTCGCAAAGTTTTGTGTTACTACCAGTCATACTTTTAAAAAATATGTGTGTTATTTAATCGGGTGGTCACGTGCTAGACCCTACGGCTGTTTCTGACATGTGTTTGACCTGTATGTACTGTGCGCAGCTGCATGTGTCAGATGTCTCTCGTCAGCACATGCGAAAGCCTATACTTGATACCTAGATCTGTTTACAATTTATTCCGGCTTAATAAAAAATTGATTGACTTTCTGTTTCATCAGTATACGTGTATGCATTTTACAATCGACATTCCGATATGGCACACACACACACACATACATGCATACTGATATATATGTATATATATATATATATATATATATATATATATATATATATATATATATATATATATATATATATATATATATATATATATATATTTATATTTATATTTATATATCACCGTACGTCGTGGCTGTAATCCAGCCAGTTTCAATTTTAAATTTCTGCCTTGGGTAGTGCATATATATATATATATATATATATATATATATATATATATATATATATATATATATATATATATATATATATATATATATATATATATATTTGTGTCTACCCCTACTAGATATACAGCTTATATACAATGCTAATTATCTACGAAGTAGTAAATTAAAGCTCGTCATTAACAAAGTAGTTCTGTATCAATGCTCAAGTATTTTCAAGTTTACCTTTACAAACCGAAGATGCGTATAAAAACATGTTGCAGGTAAAAATGTATTTTAAAAAGTTGCAGGTAATAATGTAAAAACAATGTTGCACGTATAAATGTAAAAAAAAAAATGCGTGTAAAAATGTAAAAAAAAATGTTGCAGGTAATAATGTAAAAAAAAAGTTGCAGGTAATAATGTAAAAAAAAAAGTTGCAGGTAAAAATGTAAAAAAAAAAAAAGTTGCAAATAAAAATGTAAAAAAAAAGTTGCAGGTAAAAATGTAAAAAAAAAGTTGCAGGTAAAATGTAAAAAAAAAGTTGCAGGTAAAAATTTAAAAAAAAAAAGTTGCAGGTAAAAATGTAAAAAAAAAGTTGCAGGTAAAAATGTGAAAAAAAATTGCAGGTAAAAATGTAAAAAATGTAAAAAAAAAAAAAGTTGCAGGTAAAAATGTAAAAAATGTAAAAAAAAAAAAAAGTTGCAGGTAATAATGTAAAACAAAAAGTTCCAGTTAAAAATGTAAAAAAAACCAGTTGCAGGTAATAATGTAAAAAAATGTTGCAGGTAAAAATGTAAAAAAAAAATGTTCTCACCGAGACGTCAGGCAGCAAGTACCACTCGTCTGAATATCTGGGGTCGTTGAGTTGTCCTCCGTTGGTCACAATGTCCCTGACCAGCTCGCGGTCAACAAGGTCACGCTTGACGCGGGTCTTCTGCTGTTGCTGCTCTACAAACACTACCTGCAGGGTGAGGTGGATGGTTAGATGGTGTCGGCCAAAGTATGCCGGTTAGATGGTGCTACTAGGTCATGCCGGCTAAAGTATGCCGGTTAGATGGTGTCGGCTAAAGTATGCCGGTTAGATGGTGTCGGCTAAAGTATGCCGGTTAGATGGTGTCGGCTAAAGTATGCCGGTTAGATGGTGCCGGCTAAAGTATGCCGGTTAGATGGTGTCGGCTAAAGTATGCCGGTTAGATGTTGTCGGCTAAAGTATGCCGGTTAGATGATGACGGCTAAAGTATGCCGGTTAGATGTTGTCGGCTAAAGTATTCCGGTTAGATGGTGACGGCTAAAGTATTCCGGTTAGATGTTGTCGGCTAAAGTATGCCGGTTAGATGGTGCCGGCTAAAGTATGCCGGTTAGATGGTGTCGGCTAAAGTATGCCGGTTAGATGTTGTCGGCTAAAGTATGGCGGTTAGATGGTGCCGGCTAAAGTATGCCGGTTAGATGGTGCCGGCTAAAGTATGCCGGTTTGGATGGTGCGGCTAGTTCATGCCGGCTAAAGTATGCCGGTTAGATGGTGTCGGTTAAAGTATGCCGGTTAGATGGTGTCGGTTAAAGTATGCCGGTTAGATGGTGTCGGTTAAAGTATGCCGGTTAGATGGTGTCGGTTAAAGTATGCCGGTTAGATGGTGTCGGCTAAAGTATGCCGGTTAGATGGTGTCGGCTAAAGTATGCCGGTTAGATGGTGTCGGTTAAAGTATGCCGGTTAGATGGTGTCGGTTAAAGTATGCCGGTTAGATGGTGTCGGTTAAAGTATGCCGGTTAGATGGTGTCGGCTAAAGTATGCCGGTTTGGATGGTGCGGCTAGTTCATGCCGGCTAAAGTATGTTGGGTAAAGTAAGCCGGCTAAAGCATGCCGGTTGAAGTATGTCGATTTGATAATGCCGGCTAGGTCTTGCCGGATAAGTCATTCCTGTCAGTTATTTAGGGATAGATAGTTACGGTTGGTTCTTGCCGAAACAAGCCAGTTAAAACAAGTCGGTATTGAAAAGCCGGCTACAATATGCATGTTAGAATGTGCCGGCTAGAATGTGCCGGCAGGTCGTGCCGGTTAGATTATTCCGGTTAGTCCATGCCATAACATGCCGGTTAGAACCTCTCGGTATTGAAATACCAGGTTATGTTAAAACATAATTTAAGACTGTTTTTCAAAATACGCCGGCTAGATTTTGCCTGTTAAATCATATGGGTTAGATTTTGTCGGCTTAACATTTATTGAGCATTAAAAACACGCCGGTTAATTTATTATTATGCCGGTTGAAATATCAAAATTAAATGTTTCCCAGCGTGTTTGAGTGATGTGTTTGGTTGTATTAGGGTGTGTTTGGGTGATGTGTTTGGTTGTATTAGGGTGTGTTTGAGTGATGTATTTGGTTGTATTACGGTGTGGTTGAGTGATGTGTTTGGTTGTATTACGGTGTGTTTGGGTGATGTGTTTGGTTGTATTACGGTGTGTTTGAGTGATGTGTTTGGTTGTATTACGGTGAGTTTGAGAGATGTGTTTGGTTAAATAAAAAATTTCACCGTGTATTCGAATGTGTTTGGTTTGATCAAAGTATAGATAATCGATTCTAATCGATAGATGGCCGTGCTGGTTGTCCGGCGAAAATTCTAGAAGTTGACTGGATGCCGACCATTGTTCAGACGTCATAGAGATTTCTTAATACAACTCTTCCATTGTGTGACCCCCGCACGTGGTGGGCATGCGCAAAGTGCCGGAAATTGCTGTTTTCTCTGCGACTTAATTGGCCAATCGTATCCTTCATTCGGAACTTGGCATTTCCGGAGGCTGACGGCTCGCGCAAGACAACAGCCGAGCTGTCTGCCCAAAACTAATTTACATTCAAACGGCGATGCCAAGTTTCTATTGGCTGTCCTGGAAAAATTTCAAGTCCGGAAGATATGGAACGGTGGATTAAAGAAGGATTTTCATCCAGTCATTTCAATACACCATGACTTGGTACATCCAGTCATTTCATATGCCCTAGATGACTTGGTCCATTTTTTTGCCGAAAAATGAATTTAAATTTAGATTTAAAATATCTCTAAAATAAGACCACGATATACCTTATTTTGCTAGAAGGTGACGGCTAGGTCATGCCGGCTAAAGTATGCCGGCTAGATGGTGACGGCTACAGTAAGCCCAATAATAATAAATATACCTGGTCGTGCTTACATTAAATATAACGCAGTGGGTAGACGGGTGTTATAACGTTTTGTTATATAGTGTTATAAGGTTTACGATGGTGGTGAAGATTAGTGTTATAAAATGTTTATTTTGTTTGTTTTTTTCATCTGATATGCTAGCATAAAATATGTTATTTGATTTCCTTTTAAAGTTTAAAAAAATAAAACGTGCACGTTTTGGTGAGTGTGTTATATTACTGGCTTACATACTGTTTACGGTAACTTTAGATACGTTTTTATAGTTGATTTTAGTGAGGGAAGTAATTTTTCTTACATGTATCTGATTCTCATTATTTATATTAGCAATCACGATATTGTTTACTCAATTCCGTCGACTTCTGTCGTATGTGTGTGTATGGCGGGGGGGGGGGGGGGGGGGGGGGGCTACTATACATATTATATGTATTTGACTAGGGTTATAAATCTGTGTAAATGTTACATACGTTTAATAGTTATATGGTTAGGTATAATCTGGCTGAAAGTTCCCTTTGTTGTGTTTTATCAATGAACTATCGTTTCCTCATTGTCTGGGATTACACGAACCATGTCACAGGTAGGGTATAGGTCTACAAAAGCTACATTAGATTATCTAGTCTGTTTTAGATAAACTAATTAACTCTAACAGTTTAGTTCGTTTTACTAAGTACATTCGTATACGCAAGTCTGGGAACTAATGAAACAAATTAATGAAACACGTAATAATTGATACGCTTAAATAACATTAGCCTTGATTGGTTATCTGGTTAATTAAATATCCATGTCCAGATTTTATTTATGGTCTGTTTTCATATCCACGTCGTATTAGCTATAAGCCACATTGCCGCTACAGCGTTAAGCGAGTAACACTGGCTTCATTGGTCTATCTAAATAGTTCAGTGGTTTGTTTCAGCGTTATGTGAGTCCCAATAGCCTCCATGGTCTATCTAAATGATTCAGTACTTTACGTTTCAACGTTAAGCGAATCACAATAGCCTCTATTGCTAATCTAAATGATTCAATGTTTTACGTTTCAACGTTAAGCGAATCACAATAGCCTCTATGGTCTAGAATAATGATTCAATGTTTTACGTTTCATCGTTAAGCGAATCACAATAGTGCCTCTATGCTCTATATAAACTGTTCAGTGCTTTACGTTTCAACGTTGAACGAGTCACAATGGTGCGTCCCACGGAGCGGTTAAGTTCGTCACACCGTCATCACGGCGGCAGGTGGTTATCTCCCCCATCATCGATCTGGTCAAGCCGGTGATGAATGTTTTATTTTAGAGACACAACTTGCTCCCCCGTCTGTACATAACACGATATTAATTGGCGCAACACGCATTGCTTCCCTTGACTGATCGGTTGCTTCCCTTGACTGATCGGTTGCTTCCCTTGAATAGACAGTGGCTTCCCTTGGTTGATGTTTTGAGGTTGCACAATAAGATGTAAGAGAATATTGTTAAGAACATGACGTCTGTGGCTAACAGCTGTGTAATAGTGTAGATATGTCCGAGATATCTAAATGAGTACATCTGAGTGTAGTTATTACATGGGTGTCGTGAAAGAGAAATAAAGAGTTATGGGTATTTGTGGATATTGTTCATTATAATGGTACCTAGTTATTGTGATACTTCAGTTTATTTTGATATCCTCCCCCCCCCCCCCCCCAGATATTATGATATTGTCTAGGTATCATAATTGTGCTCACATCTCGTCTATTGGGTCACAAATAAGTTCATAAACCTCGCTACAACGAGGGACTCTCATAACAATCGGATCAACTCAATGTAATTGGTCCAACTCAGTAAAACTGGACACAGCCTGCACATACCCAGTAAAATTGTACTTACCCCAGGGACCCCAACCACAGATTAAAATTTTCACTATGCTTTTTTTTCTCTATCACAGCCTAATGTAGAAATACCTACCAATTATTTGAAAAAATTCAAAACACGAGTAGGATTTTTACAGCACCATTCCCGTGGACCTACCCAGTGCAACTGGACCTAACCAGACCACACTGGACCTACCAAGACCACACTGGACCTACCCAGTGCAACTGGACCTACCCAGTCCACACTGGACCTACCCAGTAAAACTAGACTCACCCAATAAAGCTGGACCCACCCTATAAAACTGGACCTACCCTATAAAACTGGACCTACCCTATCAAACTGGACCTACCCTATAAAACTGGACTTACCCTATAAAACTGGACCTACCCTATAAAACTGGACCCACCCTATAAAACTGGACCCACCTTATAAAACTGGACCCACCCTATAAAACTGGACCCACCTTATAAAACTGGACCCACCCTATAAAACTGGACCCACCTTATAAAACTGGACCCACCCTATAAAACTGGACCTACCCAGCGCAACTGGACCTACCCTATAAAACAGGACCCACCCTATAAAACTAGACTCACCCTATAAAACTGGACCTACCCTATAAAACTGGACCTACCCTATAAAACTGGACCTACCCTATAAAACCGGACCTACCCTATAAAACTGGACCCACCCAATAAAACTGGACCTACCCTATAAAACTGGACCTAACCTATAAAACTGGACCCACCCAATAAAACTGGACCTACCCTATAAAACTGGACCTACCCTATAAAACTGGACCTACCCTATAAAACTGGACCCACCCTATAAAACTGGACCTACCCTATAAAACTGGACCTACCCTATAAAACTGGACCTACCCTATAAAACTGGACCTACCCTATAAAACTGGACCTACCCTATAAAACTGGACCCACCCTATAAAACTGGACCTACCCTATAAAACTGGACCTACCCTATAAAACTGGACCCACCCTATAAAACTGGACCTACCCTATAAAACTGGACCTACCCTATAAAACTGGACCCACAGTATAAAACTGGACCTACCCTATCAAACTGGACCCACCCTATAAAACTGGACCTACCCTCACGTCCTCCACGAGTCTCTTGGTGTGATGGCTGGCACTACGACGCGACCTGTGTGGGACGTCGTTACGTTCTAGGATGTAGTGGTCTGGGATCGATTTCAGCTGAAACACAGGGTTGAGTTGGTTAGTGGCAGGTGTTAGTGGCAGGGGTTAGTGGCAGGTGTTAGTGGCAGGTGTTAGTGGCAGGGGTTAGTGGCAGGGTTTAGTGGCAGGGTTTAGTGGCAAGGGTTAGTGGCAGGGGTTAGTGGCAGGAGTTAGTGGCAGTGGTTAGTGGTAGGGGTTAGTGGCAGGGGTTAGTACACGGGTTAGTGGCAGTGGTTTGTGGTAGTCGTTTCTGCCCGAGGTTAGTGGCAGGGGCTAGTAGCAGAGGATATTGACAGGGGTTAGTGGGGCAGTGGTTAGTGGCAATGTTTAGTGTCACTAGTTTGTGTCAGTGGAGAATATATATAAATATATATATATATATATATATATATATATATATATATATATATATATATATATATATATATATATATATATATATATATATATATACTAAAACACTAGTTTTGGAATTGCTTGAGTTACTGCCCCATAAAAAACTTCACCTAAAGATATTTTACTGTGATTGTAGACTGTGAATGACGTCAAAAGGGGAGATAACAGCTGTATTGTAATTGGATAGATATGGGTGAGCTACATACGTAGGCGGGGGGATGGGGAGAATAGCCTAACGTGTGGCACACACACATGTGTGGATGTATAAATATATGGGTGTGTTCACACACACACACACACATATATATATATATATATATATATATATATATATATATATATATATATGTGTGTGTGTGTGTGTGTACACATATACATATATAGATATAAATAGGGTATAGGCCTAATTCTATTATTAAAATCCAATATATTAGCTAATTGCGCAAAAATTTCATTTAATGAAATGTTTATGTTAATTACTTCCCATGTTTGAACTCAAAATATGCAGGGGAGACAGCCAATAATTATATTCTTAAACATTGTTTAACACACGTAGTCATTCAATAATTAGAAAGCAAAAACATAGTTTCTCATAAATTTATTATATTAATAGGGAAAATTATTGTGTGCATTTTACTACTTTGTCTAATTTTATAATTCTAAAGTTTTAATATCACTATGATGATCTAATTTGGAAAGAAAACTTTTAATTACTTTATTTTTGAAGAACATCATTTTTCTTGTTATATGTGATTGAGTAATTGCAAGCTCTATAAGGTTTATTCAATGTCTGATGATAGTTAAATTTTTGTTTTAAAATGTCTGTGCCCATAGAAATTGAATGTTTGCTGTGTCAATTGAAAATCAACTTATGAACGAGATCTACAGTTAGGGATAGATCTATAACGAGTCGCTTATTAAGAGACAAGCCTTGTGTCTGAGAAAGAGAAGACGTACAACATGTTGCCAGTTGTGAGAAGGTTTTCTACAGCTCCTTTACGCGGCTTGAGCTCTTCATTAAAAGATGCAAATACCAAAGCTCTAATAGATAAGATTGTCAGAGTGGACCATGCAGGAGAGTTTGGAGCTGACAGAATATATGCAGGGCAACTTGCTGTCCTGGGAAAATCTGAAGTCGGTCCTCTCATGAATGAAATGTAGGAAGAGGAAAAAGTACACAGAAAAACATTTGAAAAGTTGATGGCAGATGACAGAGTCCGCCTTTCAGCTCTACCCTTCTGGAACATCGCAGGCTTTGCTCTAGGTGCAGGCACGGTTCTGTTGGGGAAAGAAGCTGCAATGGCCTGTACAGTAGCTGTAGAGGATGTCATAGGAGACCATTACAACAGCCAGATCAGACAACTTGTTGAGGACAACCCAGAGAAACACAAGGAACTATTAGAGATTGTTAAAAAGTTTCGAAATGAAGAACTTCACCACCATGACGTTGGACAGGAAAATGATGCAGAAAAAGGCCCCATTTTACAAAGTATTGTCTGAAGCTATCAAGATTGGCTGCAAGGGTGCAATTTGGATATCAGAAAAAAATATAATTCCGTACAGGCTAACAGAAAGGCATGCAAGCCCAAGGACTTATCAGTTGTGTAAATACATATTAAAATATGGTTTCTTTTTAATTTGTCAATAATAAATAAAATGAATGATAGAAACAAAAAAAAATTTTTACTCTCTCGTATATACGAAGTATAGAGAAAGTCTTGTAATCGTGCAAAAAAAATTGAGATTTTTTGCAAATCTCGTCGTATTAGGGCTCCCTGAGTCGGAAAAACATAGTTTTGCAATCTTGTCCGTATGTATGTGTGTCTGTGTGTGTGTGTGTGCGTAAACACGATAACTTGAGTACCGTTACAGCTAGATTGATAAGATTTCATATATAAGTATTATATCAAAATCGTAGATCCGTATCAACTTTTGAGCGATTTCCGATAACCGAAAGTGGTTCTTTTTCTACTTTGAATTTTTCAAAAGTCTATAACTTGAGTACTATTTCAGATAGATAAATGAAACTTCACATGTAAGTAAAAGATCTAATTCTCTACCTTCTATCAAATTTTGAGAAATTTCCGTTGACCGGAAGTAGTAATTTACGCTATTTCCGATTTCTCAAAAAACTAATGTAAATTTATAAAGTACTAATAATATTGCGCATTATTATGCACATTTTATTTGGCGTTCACTTGGTGTGCAATTCTTTTTTCTACGAGATTTTATTCTATTTTAAAAAGTTTAAGTATTTAAAATTAATTAAAAATCATGTTTTATATAAGAATATTCGAGAAAGTTTAGGGGAGATCACTCCCGGTTTATTTCAAAGTGAGAGCCATCCTACCAGTAGCGTAGCGAGGGGGGGGGGGCGGGGGGGGGACAGATGTCCCCGGGCGCCGACATTAGGGGGGGGCGCCAAATTGAAAGTATGTCACCGGGCGCCGGGAAGGGTCGCTACGCCTCTGCATCCTACATCTCAAGGTAAGTTGTCTGTCATTAGAAAAGGTTACTAAAAATCACTTTGGGGAGGGGTGAGAAGGATGAGTTTGCCAGATACCTAATTGAACGTATCTGCATTAAAAAAAACGAAAGTGTTTGGGTGTTGGGCTCTGAATTTCTCTGGAATAGTTTATTTTTTCGAGACATAAATTAGATTTAAATGTAGAAGGGTTGTAGAACAATTATCTCATGGCTGCTTATGCGCCGAAAAAAAAAAGTTCCCTTTTCAAACCAGACGGTCTATAGGGCAGTATTCTTATGTTTGTTAATTTCCCTTTAATTTTAGCATCATGAACACAAGAAATTTTATTCTGCACATGTTTTATTGGTGTGGATTTGTTGAGATTTTGTCAACTACTTTTAGATTAATTTTTATTTATTTTTTGTGAATTTAAAAAAAAAAATTGTACCCAATTGACATGAATCTTCAATAAAAGTAATTTTGAAATTCTTTTTCCAAAATAATTCCGCTTTTGTATTTGTTATTTGTCAGTTGTTACTATACTATACATTAAAAAATTTTTTAAATCAAATTAAATTTTCTTGCAATTGAAGACAAATAAGAAAACAAGGTAATTAAAAAGTCTAGTGACAATTTTAGCGCAATTTCCTTATGTTATCTAAAAATAGCTCTGTCGTAGCGTAAATCAAGAGCAGGGTTAGTAAAACCATTGGTTAGTTATTAAAACGTTTTTTATTACATTTTTTTTCAGTATTTTACATGTTTTATTTACAATAAAGTTACATGACTAAAAAACATTGCGCGCCTAGCTACCGAACGTGATGTCGCAGCCATTGAACGTGATGGCGCAGCTATTGAACGTGATGACGCGTGTGGTGTGGTTGGATAAAAATGCCTACTAATTCGGTCCAAATTTTAATTAATTAAAAAAAATTTTGTGACCGAACGAAAGGATATTTTTGAAAACTTTCTTCGGCAATATCTATATATATATAATTCTCTTCTGGGAGCCGCTAGAAAACAAGCTGTAAACGCTCTCCCTACCTCCCCACCCCTACATGGTTTTAGTGAGCTGTGTTCACTCTATTTACAAGCAGAGCCAACAATTTTAAACGTAAGGGGGGAGAGAGGGGGGAAGGAAGGGGGGGGGGTTATGGTCCTTAACGAGCTACTTATAGTGTTTTAAAGCAAATATTTTAAGTGGCAGCGTTGGTACTGTCGAATTCACAAATTATGAATTACTGAAAAGTAGAAAAAACAACAACTAAATAGCGGCGTATGTTATGCCGCGGGCCGGCTCGTTGTTTTAAATTATGGCAGGAATCGATTGGTACATGTTTCAAGTCGCTAAGTGGTCTGGTTGCCGAGATATGGGCCAAAAACTGCATTTTTTCGAGGTTTTTTGGCTTTTTCCGGGAAATCCATGAAAGAAACCCGGATTTTTTTGGGCCTATGTTCATCCTCGTAACTTGCTTAACATAATTGCTTTGGAACTAGTCCTCGATATTTCTTCGTTGAGGAGGAGATACGACTTAAAGCTGCGGACACACATCCATTCATTCATACATTCATACATCCAGAAATGACGGGTTAATAAACGCAATTCTCCAGAATGGAAATTGCGCTAAAAAATTAGTTAACAGATTTAAAAAGAAAGTAGAATAAAATATCAGAACCAAAAAAAAATTGTAAACAGATAAAGAGAAAACATTTTAAACCAATTCAGGTCTAGGAATCTATCGTCGGAGTTTAGATTCCCATATCTAGCAGACGTAAAGAGGTGATATTTAAACAAATAGAATGGAAACATTTGTCCCACAGGACGAAATATTTGACCGAGAGGTAAAATGTTTCTCCGATGGCTACCGGACTTTCACCGAGTTCGTGACGACGTTACATCACAGACCGACCACACGACAGGCGATAAGGACGCACCTGTCTGCTTCACACCACAGCAACACAAGAAATCGTTCAGCTTCGACAGCTGCACACTTAGACATACATAGATGTACATACATACATAGACATACATAGACGTACATACACACATAGACATACATAGACGTACATACATACATAGACATACATAGACACACATAAACACACATAAACACATAGACATACATAGACATACATAGACACATAGACATACATAGATGTACATACATACATACATAGACATACATAGACGTACTTACATACATAGACATACATAGATGTACATACATACATACATAGACATACATAGACGTACTTACACACTCAGACATACAGAGACGTACATACATACATAGACATACATAGACACACATACACACATAGATATACATAGATGTACATACATACATAGACATGTATAAACACATAGACATACATAGATATACATATATAAATAAACATACATACGTAGACGTGCATACATACATAGACATACATATACACATAGACATACATACATACATAGCCGTATAATACAGAGAAACGTACATAGAACTAAATTACTAATATACATTGAACTATATAGGCATACATGAGTATGTAGACGGTAGACATACATATACAGACATACATAGTCATACATACATAATACACAGACATACATGGAGAGACACATATGGACATACATGCATACATACATACATACATACATAGACAAATATGCACATTCATACAGAGATATGTATACATATACATACCTAGACATACATTCATACATTGATATATAAATATATACATACATACATGTAAGTTTAGAAATTTAAAACATTAGTTACACAAAACTTTGCATGTATTTCAGCCTTTTAGAATTTACATTAACTGTTATTAAAACAATTTAAAAACTCATTTTTCTTGAGATGTAGTTTTTTGGACCTACTGTATTTTTACACGTATATATATATATAACTTAAGTGTTCAGCGTAAGAAAATAGACACGACCTTTCAGAAAAAGCTGTCAGTATTGTTTCAAGATTCCTGACTGAAGTCAAACACCTGACCGTGACAGGGACTGTCGTTAATTGAATGAGCGGCACTAGACGATTGACTGCTCACTGAGATTTGGACTGCTCAAAGGGTTGCTTCAATATTTTAGTGAGGGTGGGGGCACAGTGGACTGGTGGTTAAAGCTAGATCACCACACAGAAATTGATCACCACACAGAAACTAGATCACCACACAAAGATAGATGTGAGAAACCAGATCACCTCAACAGTAGCTTGAAGTAGCTAATTTAACGAATGGCTGTTAGAAGCTATAGAAAGCTAGACGGTGTTAGCTGAGAGAAATCTAGATCAGATCACCGCTGGTAGACAGTGATAATACAGCTTTAGCCAGCAACAATGATTGAGTTTATCCAATAAACATTTACTGAAACGACGCACAACATAAACTACAAAGGCAATCATGAGCTAACTTAAGACACATTTAAAAGAAAAAAAATGTGTGCCCAAAATTAAGATATAAACTTTTTTACAGTCCTACTAAAAAAAATTTTTAAAGACGTATGTTCAACTATAATTTAAAAATTAAAAATTTAAGAAGTCAATTTTAATTTATAAAATTACCTTGCTAATCATTTCTACAAATTGATTAATCTATGAGATGTATTGTAAATTTTACCTTGCTACTTTTAAACTTATGACAATTGTAAGGATATACCTTAAAATAATTTATTAAAATAGTTTATTTCTTCTCAAACTTTTTTTTTTACACTTTCGATTCTGACGGTGAATGAAGCAGATGAACTAGAACCTCGGATCCGATTTAGAAATTGTACGCTCTAACATATGTGCCTTTAACTCAAATCTATCCACAACTTTACTCTTCACTTTTGAATATATTGTATTACAAAAGTTTTACTTGTTTCTGTAACGTATCACTAATACATGTAAAAAGTACACAACATTTTACAAAACGTGTAGCAAAAATCTCAACAAAATATTGGACGTTTAGACACATTGTCTTCGTCAACAGAACGATTGGTTAAAGAGATGATAGATGGATGAACAAGTTTGAATGAGGCAATACATTCACATGCATGTAACTGTGTTAATGCATACGCATACATAAAACTGTGACAATACATAAACAGACATAAATGTGACAATACATACACATACATATAACTTATTGCATCACATAAATAAAACTGTGACAACACATATACATACATGTAACTGGCAAAAAACTTCTTCTCACACCCACCCCTCACTCACCACGACATATTTTTTCTTCACATCATAGCTACATAGCTACAATGAAACATACTACAACACCGGGTATACCATTATTATAACGCCATCTTTACTCCTACATATGTAGCACCAGCTACAGCTGTAGCAGTAGCTACAGAAACAGTGTAGCGCTGGTTCAGTAGCTTCAATGCTAGTACTAATAATATTACTTTAAATTCAGATTTAGCTGGTAGCACTACTATTAGCTGGTAGCACTTCTAACAGCTGGTAGCACTTCTACAGCTGGTAGCACTACTTACAGCTGGTAGCACCAGTTACAGCTGGTAGCACTAGTTACAGCTGGCAGCTAATTTAGAGACTTCCTTGGGTCAAATTAGTAGGACGGCATTTGTATTGAGAGATGGGCTGGGTGAGGGAATGTGTGTGGAGGGGGGGGGGCGAGGTAGGACTTGAATCTAGACAAACTTACCGGTCTAAGTAGCGTATAGCCGTGCTGTGAGGCTACCTCCCTGGCTACCTCCAGCCCACCGTCTATCCCAACAGCCCACTCGTTGAGAAAATGACTGTCCTCATCGTCTGCAGTGGACAGCTGGACCCCGTGCTGCCCGAAGGGTAAAGCGATGAGCAGGAATACAAGACAATACTTGTCCATGTCTCTAGTCGTGTTCGTGCACGACTTGACTTAGGTCTATGACAACAGATAGCACGCCTTGCACTACCTTATAACTCCCTTGTGACGTCAAGGGAAAAAAATTATCTAATCGAACTGCTTTAATTCCCGACTTCCGGTTTTGGAGAGAAAAAAATGGCGGATGATTTTGAAATGAAAAATAACAACACTGATTAATTACAATTACTTAACCTTTAAAAATCACAACACTGTTTTATAGAATTTTATATCCAAGATTTAAATTTTGAGGTTGCTCCGCTGCATGAAAGCTCCAGCGGAGATTTTATCGTTGACTTTACGCCATGGTGAGTGGACAAAGTAGAGTTGTCGATGAATGTATATCTCCCATATGTCGAGGTTAATGAAAAAGACAGAGATGTTCGCTTGGCTGAACCATGGGACCAGATGTCGCAGTTCTCACACCCTGCGTCTGTCCCACTCACCTGAGGAAGAGCAACACACGGGAATATTAATACAATAGATACAACTACTCAAGTGTGTACATGTATTTAAGGACGTTTGTCTTCATTGACATATTGGTTGGGAGATTAATGTAAACAAGGCCTATTTAAAAATCAAGCGTGTGTTTGTTAACATTTTTGTACTGTAATAAATGTAAATAAAGTCTGTTAACATATAACATTTGTCTTGGTGAATTGTTGAGTCAGTAAAACAAATAAAAACAATAACAATTGACGGAGTTATGTCCCTGTATATTCTTTCATACCGCGATGTAGGGGGAAGATATCAAGCCTGTAGTGGGGGTGGGGCTTACTGGCATAATTAATGAGATGTAAACGTGCATGTTGTACTCACATGACGAGTTGTGAACTTGATGCTAAATGTAATATAGCATTTGTGAGCAGAAAATTATGGTTATATTCGTGACTTGTGATATATCAGTGAAAGTTGTGTGAATGTGTGTGTGTGTATTTATTTCAGTGTATGGGTGTTGTGTCAGTGTGTGTGTGTGTGTTGTGTCTGTAAGTGTTTAAATGTCAGTGTCTATGTGTGTGTTGTGAAATTATGTGTGTGTGTTTATTTCAATGTCTATGTATGTTGTTTCAGAATGTGTGTTGTGCAATTGTGTGTGTGTTGTGTTAGGGTGTGTTTTGTGTTAGTGTGTGTGATTTTGCGTGTATTGTATCAGTGTGTTTTTTGTGTGTGCTGTTTGTCAGTTTGTATGTGTTGTGCCAGTGTATGTGTGTCTTAATGTGTGTTTTGTGAAAATGTATGTGTGTAGTGTCAGTTTGTATGTGTTGTGCGAGTATGAAATGGTATTTAGTAGTTTATTCTATGCGAAAAACACCAACACATATAAATTACATCCAATCTGAACACATATTTTAGCTACAACAACAACACATATTTTAGCTACAGCAACAACACATATTTTAGCTACAACAACAACACATATTTTAGCTACAACAACAACACATATTTTAGCTACAGCAACAACACATATTTTAGCTACAACAACAACACATATTTTAGCTACAGCAACAACACATATTTTAGCTACAACAACAACACATATTTTAGCTACAACAACAACACATATTTTAGCTACAGCAACAACACATATTTTAGCTACAACAACAACACATATTTTAGCTACAGCAACAACACATATTTTAGCTACAGCAACAACACATATTTTAGCTACAACAACAACACATATTTTAGCTACAACAACAACACATATTTTAGCTACAGCAACAACACATATTTTGACTACAACAACCACACATATTTTGGTTACAACAACAACACATATTTTAGCTACAACAACCACACATATTTTGGCGCAACAACCACACATATTCTGGCTACAACAACAACACATATTTTGACTACAACAACCACACATATTTTGGCTACAACAACCACACATATTTTAGCTACAGCAACAACACATATTTTAGCTACAACAACCACACATATTTTGGCTACAACAACCACACATATTTTAGCTACAACAACCACACATATTTTAGCTACAGCAACAACACATATTTTAGCTACAACAACAACACATATTTTAGCTACAGCAACAACACATATTTTGACTACAACAACCACACATATTTTGGCTACAACAACAACACATATTTTAGCTACAACAACCACACATATTTTGGCGCAACAACCACATATTTTAGCTACTACAACAACACATATTTTAGCTACAACAACCACACATATTTTGGCGCAACAACCACACATATTCTGGCTACAACAACAACACATATTTTAGCTACAGCAACAACACATATTTTGACTACAACAACCACACATATTTTGGCTACAACAACCACACATATTTTGGCGCAACAACCACATATTTTAGCTACTACAACAACGACACATATTCTGGCTACAACAACGACACATATTCTGGCTACAACAACCACACATATTCTGGCTACAAGAACAACACATATTTTACCTACAACAACCACACCTAATGTGGCGACAGCAACGACACGTATTAAGCTTGTGACCTACGGCGTGTTTAGCCTGTATTTTTTATCATTAATGTAAAATGACCCATGACAAGTGCCCATATTGAATACTTTTAGCATGTAATTATTATCATTCGATATTTAGCATTTACATATTTATCTGATGCCATAAAATAATTTACCATACGGCATCATTTAATTTCTCGATCAGCATACAACACATGGTCTTTCATAGAGGAGGGGATTATAGAACAAATTAAAAGAACTACTAATTAAAAAATCAAAATCTAGAAAATGTTTTGATTAAGTTCAAATTTGTGATAGCTCTTACGAAATTGTTTGGCCGCTGTACATAAATGTATGTTTGATGTTTCAGTCAAGTGTGTAGTGTCTGTCATACGATTGTTAGGTCTGTCATAAGTTTGTTCTGCCTGTCATTGGTTTGCTCTGTCATAATTTTGTAGGGTCCGTCACTTGTTCTGTCAGTTCCATTGTTTGTGACATTGACAGCTATATTGACAACGACATTGACAGGGGCATTGACAACTACATTGACACGCTTTTGACAACTATATTGACAACGCTTTTGACAAAGACATTGACAAAGACATTGACAAAGACATTGACAAAGACATTGACAAAGACATTGACAAAGACATTGACAAAGACATTGACAGGGGCATTGACAACAACTGCGGTAGTGTCAACAGCCAAACATATTCCAGCCTCAGATTTCTACAGGACTTTTTCCGTGTTGATCTAAACATGGTAGGCCCTTGGCTCACACTACTCAGCTTTGTTTTCCGGAGGGGGAGAGTAGGGGAGGCACTAAATTTCCGAGGAGGTTGGGTGAAAAATGAAGGTGTGTGTGGGGGAGGGGGAGTTTCCTCCAGGAGGGATTCCTCAAAGCTATGTACCCGCCGCAACCCCCCCCCCCCTCGGGAATACCAATACTGTAACACCCCCCCCCCCCCTCTGACCAGCAATACAATGTACCCACTTGGACCACTAATACAGTGCACCCCCGGAAAATACAGTACACCACACCCCTTGACCACCTATCCAACGCCCTCCCCATCCCCATAACCACCAATACAATGTAACCATCATAGACTGAGGTGTGCTGTTAATGAAACGATTGACCGTCATTTTGTCGTCCCACAGCGCAGCTGTTAGCTTCCTAGCTCCAGGCTAAAAATAGACGTGAACAACGTCACGCTGGTGTATTTATATGGATACGAGTGGTAAGGTTTGTGAGGGGATAGTGGACCATAACTTGTGATGAGATTGGTGTAGGAGATAGTGGTCTATGCTATAATGTGTGGAGAGTTTTGTGTGGGCGATAGTGGGCTATAATATGTAGTGAGCTGTGTGTTGTGGATAGAGGGCTATAATGTGTAGTGTGTTGTGGATAGAGGGCTATAATGTGTAGTGTGTTGTGGATAGAGGGCTATATTGTGTAGTGTGTTGTGGAAAGAGGGCTATAATGTGTAGTGTGTTGTGGATAGAGGGCTATAATGTGTAGTGTGTTGTGGATAGAGGGCTATAATGTGTAGTGTATTGTGGATAGAGGGCTATAATGTGTAGTGTGTTGTGGATAGAGGGCTATAATGTGTAGTGTGTTGTGGATAGAGAGTGTAGAGAGAAGTGGGCCTTAGTCAAATGAATCCTCTATTAAGTACAGGCGAACGTTTTACTTAGGCATAATGTAAGTGTAACGAGACATAATACTTGACCTAAAATGTAAGTGTAACGAGACATAATACAGGACCTAAAATGTAAGGCTAACGATACAACACAGGACCTAAAATGTAAGTGTAACCATAGAAGACACAGGACCTAAAATTTAAGTGTAACGATAGATGACACAGGACCTAAAATGTAAGTGTAACGATAGACGACACATTACCTAAAATGTAAGTGTAACAATAGATGACACAAGGCCTAAAATGTAAGTGTAACGATAGAAGACATAGGACCTAAAATGTAAGTGTAACAAGACAGCACATGATCTAAAATGTAAGGGTAACTATAGATGACACATGACCTAAAATGTAAGTGTAACGATAGATGACACAGGACCGAAAATGTAAGTGTAATGATAGATGACACAGGACCTAAAATGTAAGTGTAACGATAGATGACACATGACCAAAAATGTAAGTGTAACGATAGATGACACATGACCTAAAATGTAAATGTAACGATAGATGACACAGGACCTAAAATGTAATTGTAACGAGACAACACAATAACTAAAATGTAAGTGTAACGATAGATGACACAGGACATGAAATGTAAGTGTAACGATAGATGACACATGACCTAAAATGTAAGTGTAACAATAGATGACACAGGACATACAATGCAAGTGTAACGATAGATGACACATGACCTAAAATGTAAGTGTAACAATAGATGACATAGGACCTAAAATGTAAGTGTAATGATAGATGACACAGTACCTAAAATGTAAGTATAACGATAGATGACATAGGACCTAAAATGTAAGTGTAACGATAGATGACATAGGACCTAAAATCTAAGTGTAACGATAGATGACACAGGACCTAAAATGTAAGTGTAACGATAGATGACACAGGACATGAAATGTAAGTGTAACGATAGATGACACATGGCCTAAAATGTAAGTGTAACAATAGATGACACAGGACATACAATGCAAGTGTAACGATAGATGACACATGACCTAAAATGTAAGTGTAACAATAGATGACATAGGACCTAAAATGTAAGTGTAATGATAGATGACACAGTACCTAAAATGTAAGTGTAACGATAGATGACATAGGACCTAAAATGTAAGTGTAACGATATATGACATAGGACCTAAAATCTAAGTGTAACGATAGATGACACAGGACCTAAAA